ATTTTGTGAATGAAGTTTAAAGTTCTACGGTTTTGTTTAATTGAGTGCTCTTACCTAAGCTCCATTGCTTTGGGGCTTGACACAAAATGGCTCTCTACAACACAACAAAATTGATTGTAGGGAAGTTGCAAAAAAAATATAATTCACTTTTTCATGTACTTGCCTTTTCCTTATAGTATTAAAAATGTTTTCACTACATACATGCACGACAATAGTCTTGTTTCACTTGCTCTTCTACAGTTCACATGTCTATAGTTAACAATTCTGGGCTTATCTACTGTGGTTTCAGATAGAGCTAATGTCAACTTCATTGCAACATTAAGCTCAGTTGAACTATGCAGTCATCACATACCACTTTTCATTCACGTAAATCCTTATTCAATATTATGCTGCCATTTTCAGAAAAGTACCCAGGAAATAGGTAACAGAACAACCTTGCAGATAAATTATTTATATGCACACACCAGGACCTAGTTGTTAAAAGTAGGGTTAAGATAACCCAGGGTTAGAGCAAAATTTGAATTCATATATGAAAGCTCAAAAAGTAAAGTCAGTTTTATTTTTTTTAACGACAATTTGCTGACTGGATGCTCTAAAAAGAATAATTTGTGTCCATCTATAATCCAATCTTCTTTTACCAACACCTCTTAGTACACCACCCTCATCAAATTGAGACGAGCCTCCACCATCTACACAATGACAACATGCAACCCAGCGTAAAATATTTTTCCTAGGCAGTGGAACTAAAACCGCAGGAGTAGAGTTCCCATGACGCAATCTTGGCCGAGGTCGATCGCGAGGGTCACGAGGCTGATTTCCGAAACACAATCATGTCTAAGAAAAAGAAACCCGCGACCTTGGGCTAGCACTAACAAGTCCTCAAGCAACACTGGACTGAGTAATACACACCTCAATAGCTCTTTCCCAATAATAGGCCGTGCCCTGTAGTTTCAACAGCCAGCTTGCTATAAACAAACAAAAACACCAATAAAACCTGGTAAATTTAATCATAAACAAAGAAGATCCACTCCACTTAAAGAAAGTTTCAGCTGTACTAGAAGTTAGAATGGTGCCTCAGCGATCTTGGTGGTTCTAGTTGTCATCATTTCTCAAAGATCAACTAGCAAATATTGAAAATCATCACTGGCACAGTCAGATTCTACATTTTGGAGGAATGTTAAATTTAACCTTAACAACAGTGCTTGTTTTTTTACCTACAATCTTACAAAAAAGCTTACCAATTTATAATATACTCTTTACAAGGCTAAACAAATTGTACACTTTTTAAACCTAAGCAAATTTTACGGACAATCCTATAAATTTAGTCAAGACACTTAAGAGAAAATACCGGTATGAACGCTTATGAGAATTTTCTATACATACCAAGGGTTATACACTGTAAATGAACATGATAATCCTCACACACTGCCAGTCTCATCTTTATTCTGAAAAGGAAATATATCAAAGGATATACCAACATTAATTTTATTTTTTCCTGTTATTTGACTTCATAAAGCTTATAATCTCACAATGCATCAGGCCTATCGATCACACATCACTAAGCTACCAAAGCCTTCTGTGTTATAGAAAAAGTCATCAAGTGCATTCAAAGGATGTGAGATAGTCTAGTTTTGAATCCATTGCGGCTGCTGAATGGAAGCACTGAAGACTCATTTATGCAAAGTAAGCCTCAACCTAAAGTAAAATAATCACAAATACTGACGAGGTGCCTGAATTTGAGTTTAAAACAACAGACAGAGTTGCACACAGGTCTTTTCCTGACTGGAATTTGTAAATACCCGTACGAAACTTGCAGTGCTGTACAGCAGCACAAAATCGCTTCAAAATAGCTGTACAGCTAAATTACAGCTCTTTAACAGCATTTTAGATGCCAAACAGCAGCTTAATTCAAGTTGCAGCGGGATGCAAAAATGCTGTGCAGCCTTTGAAGCTCTCGGCAGCAGTTTTGCAGCGCAGTTGCTCACCTTCAAATGCTACAAGTAGCTGCAGTAACGCTGCAATTCAGCTACGGTCAATCTGACTTTCTTGAGAGCCAATAACATGAATCCCCAGTTAAAGCCTTGCCACAGATTGCAGCTTTTATAACGCGAAAACTTTGACTGTACCTCTCAGAAATGTGAGTAAGCTTTTGCACAGGGAAGATCACTTGTTGAATAAACCTCCAAATTCTATGCTTTGGGAAACAAGACTTCAATAAATTTCATTCCAAAACTGGCGAGGGTGGGAACGTTATCGCTGATTCCCTAGAGACATTCTAGACCAAAATCTACCAATCTTATTATCTTATTGGTTGGCCCTTTTGTATGATGTCACGTGTACGCGTGGATACTAATAAAGTATCAGTTGCAATTTGACTTTCTAGTGGTTTTTACTCTGCTAATAAGGCCTTGTCAACTCCTCTACCATGTATCATGATTATTGTATAGTTGAGCTTGTATTTCTTTGTTTTGTACTAACGAGTGGTGGGCCATTACCGGTAACAACATTCTTTGACTTTTCAAAGCCACTTTGCAGTGCAGATCGTGATTCAGGAATTTTCTGCACCACTGAAACAGCACCATTTATTGCTGTCAAAAGGCTTTCCACTGCAGCCAAAATTTGCGACTGCTGCAGCCAGCACTTTTACAGCTCTTTTGTAGCGCTTCTTGAAGCCATTCTTCAGCGGTGCAGCAGCACTGCTCAGTTTGTACAGGCATATTTACCTTAGCTCAAGGCTAACCCTGTATAACCGAATCTTCAGTGCTTCTATTCAGCAGCCATGACATATTTGAAACTGGACTATTGTCTACAGTTTTATTTTTAAAAATTACCTTGGAAGGATCCTGTTTTGAAGATACGATGTACAAGTAAACAGTGGGCTTTTTTAGACTTGAAATTGATTGACCTATCATAGCAAAAACAAGACTTCAATGAGCAACAGGTACAAAAAAGCAGAAAGAGAAGACAACACAAGACTTAAGTACAATGCAAGGAAAATGCTTCTGTGTACCTTCAGTTAAAACAGTTTAGTTTCTCTTCATTGACTAACTAAGAGAGATTCCCATTTAAACTGTTCATCACTGGTACACATTTACATTGATCCTTCCAGTACAAAAACATTTCCCTCAAGTAATTACAAGTCTGATTTCTTGGTGTAACTGTCTTTAATTACTAAATTCTGTTCCGGACCAGTTCAGTGACAATGAGAATGCTGGGTCAAGCACGAAAGTGACATCACTTTCTCACCAAATTAAAACTTTTAGGTCCTTAAAATCAGCTACTACACAGTGCACAGTAAATTAATTAACCCATTTTAGAAGAAAAGTCAGCAGGAAGGGTGTTTGTCACCAACATGCAGTCAACTTTCATTACAGTGCCCATAGTAGTAGAAGGATAAAAGAAGACATTTCTGCTAAACATCATTTGCGTTATACAGATAACAAGTTTTTTTTATATCAAGACTGATTGAAAAAACTATAAGCATATTCACTGTTTTACAATTTTTGCAAAGGATCCTGCTGTGCAAATTAATTAGGTGTCCACAGTCCTTAAGCCAAGAGTTAAATCAGGGTCGGCCAGGAGGGGTAGTGGTATACCAGTATACCAAAAAACATTCGCCAAAATACCCAAAATTCATCCAAATATACCCAAAATTATACCCAAGTATACTTTATACCTGAAATTCAAAGAAAGTGATATACCGAATACCCGTATTTAAGCAGCAATATACCGATTATTATTTCCCATCATAAAAAGTCAAGCCATAAATCAAAGATTTTTCTCAAGTAAACAACTAACCTCATCAAATTCTAGATCGTTTATCTCTTTGATTGTTTATGTATGATCAGGGTTGTGCTCTAGTGAAGCCCGGTGGCCCCTGGCGCCCAACTTTTGCTTTTGGGTGACTAGAAAATCTCAGATTTTTCATACAAATCATAATATGCTGGGCACCTTATATTTTACGGACCTCTGGAGCCAGGGTATGGCAGTGGGTGACAACCGATCAAACCTGGTGCAAATAATCTTTGCACAATCGCCTTGAAACGGTTTCCCCCTCGACCACGTGCTCAACTACAAACTGTTTGCACACAACTTCTATTTCGAGCGGAAAATAAACCGGGTAATAACAAAAGGGATGCTTTCCAAAAGGTAAATCTAAACTTGAGTGAGGAGATTTGTCCAAGACTACTGAGAAGAAGTGAGGAAAGCTTAGAAATATTACCTTTCGTAGACGACATCTTGCTGCTACTGTAATGCATATTTCTTTGAACGGTGATAAGATATTGATGCAAAGCTGAGGAGCATAAACTTATGTTTATGTACTTTTAACACTTAAAAGTCTTTCGATGAACACAGTCTCTGAGGACTGAGTATTGAAAAAGCTAACGAAAAGGACCATACCTCTGCAACAGAGAACCACCAACACTCCTCAGCAAAACTCTCGGCTGACCTCGTGGTTGCTGAGCTTGTGTAAAAACGAGGTGGCCCGACTTCCACCGAAGTTACACGAAGCAGTTCGACCGTAAACAAAAACGTAACAACGTAATCTTGACAATCTTAGCAACAGGATTTTAGGCTATTTCATGTCAATGCATTGGATGCTCTCAAGGAATATAAAAATGTATGTAATAGTGTTATATTAGCACCATAATTCACGCAATTTTAACGCTATTTATGGAAGGGAGATAATATTGAGAAACTTTTGCTTCTTGGCTGATTGCAGTATAAACCGGAAATGAAGAATTTGCGAAGCGGTGGCGATCTCTAAAGTTGACACGACATCCGAGAAAAGCCGAGTGAAAATGACGAAATCGTGTAGCGTGGACCAATCAGAATCGGCCAGCGGGAAGAAGGCTGACCAATCAGCGAGCTACACGCGTGGTAGCGAGCGAAATATCAACCGGCTCGGGAACTTTTCGTCAAGAATTTTACTGTAGTGTTCTTGTTGGTGGAGATTGTCACAGGTTTTTTTGTAAGAAATTATAGGACAGATTTTCATTATGAAGTCGATTTGCACATTTTGTGCTCTGGCCTTAGCCAGCAGTTTACTCCTAGTTAGTGGTGAAGACAAGAAAGATGAAAAAGCTGATAAAAAAGATGTAGGAACTGTAATCGGTATCGATCTTGGAACGACGTATTCTTGGTAAGTACACATCAATTTGTTGAACCGGTACCTTCACTTGCTACCCTAATCAAAGCTTCTTTTCGCGTGCAAATCATTTTATTTACCAGTTAAAGACGCTTTAGATTGTTTCTTTGACACTTGGTGGAATAAAATCCATATTTTCTTTGGTTTTTCTGACTTAAAGTGAGTTCCACCATTTCAAACTTGGTTAATTAGGTTATTTGCATTTTGGTGATGGCTGCACTTTAAATTTTCTGCATCGCCATTTACCTTGATTATTTTTTATTAAATCTGAGGAGTTCTTTGTCTTTTACAGTGTTGGTGTTTTCAAGAATGGACGAGTTGAAATCATCGCAAACGACCAAGGAAACCGAATCACTCCATCTTACGTGGCTTTCACTCCAGAAGGAGAACGATTGATTGGTGATGGAGCAAAGAATCAGCTGACCACGAATCCAGAAAACACTATTTTTGATGCCAAACGCTTGATTGGTAGAACATGGGACGATAAATCGGTTCAAAAGGATTTGGAGTTTTTTCCCTTTCAAGTAATCGAAAAGAACAAGAAGCCCCATGTTCGTGTAAACGTGAAAGGAGAACACAAGACTTTTGCTGCTGAAGAGATCAGCGCCATGGTTTTGAGTAAAATGAGGGTAAGATAAAACAAATTATAATTATAACGATCCGTTGTGCAGAGTTCCTTTTGTGCTAAGAAACGGTTTATTGAAAGAGTTTATATCTTGAATTAGATTTTGAATTAACTTGCTGGTGCTGTATGTCAATTGTAGTACTCACAGTCTCAGAGCAGGTAGTGATGTCATTGTTTCTGTAAACAAAAAATAAAAATTTGATTATGTTGGTTTAACTGATTAGTTTGCCAGATTTAATGTGAACAATTCATACACCACTTTTGGGTGCATTTGTTTGGAGGTAAAATAGGTAGTTAATCATAAAACATGCAGTTTTCTCGCTTGGTCTTGTTGTCCAATTGTCTATAGTCAACTCTATCTGCAAGACAGATACTAAGGACCTTTAGCAGGGAGGACGGCAATGGCAATGAAAAGGCAAAAAAAGTAATTCTGCATGCGCAGAACACTTTGTGATGCATTCTTTTACCATCCCTGGATGATCACCCCATGAAATTTGCCAATGTGACCTATGAAGGTCGTAGACACACGAAAACAAATTTTGTTTCTCTTTTTAAACTTGGGTGCAGTTCCCTAGGGTTCAATTCCAGGGAAATAAAGCTTCATTTGTAATTTTCAGGTTTTGGAATAAATGCAACAAGTTTGAATAAAATAAATTCATTAAAATTGTATTGCAAAATGAGCTATCTACTATTATATTGGGACCCTTGGATCAGCCCTAAGTGTCCCCATCACATAGAGTGGAAAATGACAGGCACCAACTTTAGATTTCCTTTTCATCCAGCAGAGTGTTTGTCTTGATTCAAAACTCCTGTTTGTTGCTTGTTACAAAGTTGTAGGACTCTGATGAAGCAGGCTTTTTCTATTTTGCCAGCCAGTACTTCTGGTTAGCTACTTCAAATACAATCTTTATGGTAATTAAGTCACTTTGTGAAATCATTCTTTTAATAATTTTTCCTACTCTCTGTTAAACAAAGTTTACTTGTTTTTTGTTTAGGAAATTGCCGAGGCCTATCTTGGGAAGAAAGTCACACATGCTGTCGTCACGGTACCTGCCTACTTCAACGATGCTCAGCGTCAGGCCACAAAAGATGCTGGAACTATTGCGGGTCTCACTGTAATGCGTATCATCAATGAGCCTACTGCTGCTGCTATTGCTTATGGTTTGGATAAGAAGGAAGGAGAGAAGAATATCTTGGTGTTTGACCTTGGTGGTGGAACCTTTGATGTCTCCCTTCTCACCATTGACAATGGCGTCTTTGAAGTAGTCGCAACAAATGGTGACACCCATCTTGGTGAGTCTTTTTGACTAGCTGTTTTTTATCCCTTCTCTTTTAAATTGTACTCAGGAAGAGTGTAAAGACTTCTTTCCCAAAATTGCTAGCATTTTGCTCGAGGTAGACTGATTTGAATGATAACCGTCTTAACAATTTTTTTGTGCAGAGGAGTGAGTGTATTGGCCCCTCAACTGCCCATGATAATCTCATCCCTTTTGTCACTAGTGACGTCGATCATCAGTCTTAACAATCACCTAAAAATTTGACACCTGATTTGTTCAGGTGGAAGAGATTTTCAAACCATAATCAAATGAGCACAGTTCACTCCAACAAATCATAGAAAAACGTGCCAAAAAAAATCTCTAATTAACCTGAAAATTCCAGAGAAAATCTTCTTCCACAACTCATCTGAACTGCGATTAAAATAATTTCATGATTCTGAAAGTTGTCCCAAAAAGTCTTTTTCCTACTAAAATGAAGAAGTGGGGATAAACTAAAGAGAACTCGTAAAATGGTTAAAGAAGTTTGTACTGTTCTTGTATTCTAGGTGGTGAAGATTTTGATCAGAATGTCATGACACATTTCATCAAACTGTACAAGAAAAAGACTGGAAAAGACGTGCGTAAGGACAACAGAGCTGTTCAAAAACTCCGACGTGAAGTTGAGAAAGCCAAGAGAGCCCTCAGCAGTCAGCATCAGGCCAGGATTGAGATTGAATCATTTTATGATGGAGAGGATTTCTCTGAAACATTGACACGTGCACGTTTTGAGGAACTGAACATGGTAAGGGCTTGGCATGTTTCTGGTTATTGTTGTTGGTGGTAGATGTGAAAGAGGAATAACTTTAAGCTGAATTGATTAAAAATTATTCTCTTTTAATGGCAATAACAAACTCACTACAACATGAAAAAGTATACCTGCCAACTCTCACGCCTGCGGGTTGAAAACTTCGATCTCGCGCCTGCGGGCCAATTTCTCACGCCTGATTGAAAAATGTGAGTTGTTGCCGTCCTGCTTGACACAATTTCCAAAAATATGTTAACTCAGACCCATGTAAGGAACGAAAACCATGTGTAAAATGAATAAATGGCAATACCTTCCTCGCGATCTCTGATTTTTGAAGTGAAAAGCACTGAGAGCGAGCTTGCCTTTGGCAGACTTCGGCAGTCTTCGGAAGACTTCGGACGTCTTCGGAAGAATTCGGACTTCTTCGGGAATCTTCGGAAATGATCCTGTCGTCTTCAAAAAACCCAGTATTCCCAGGATAAAAATCTCACGCTTATATCTCAGAAAAAGTTGGCAGGTATAGAAAAAGGCAAGGCAAACTAGTTATCCCCATGATTTATTGGACATTCAAATTAATTTAGAATAGCAAATGGATTTCCCAGCTTATTGAAAATTGAAAACTATGGTATGTTTAGTGTCTGAAAACAAAAGACTGTTTTATTTATTTACACAAATCAGTATTACCTGTGGACTTCCAACAATTCTTGCAAATTTAGTTACCACAATATAGGCTCTTGACCCCCTGAATCATTTGTCTTTGGTAGCAAGAGGTGACATTGTGGTATGAATACTGAGTATTAGACCATTTTCGGAAAGAAAAAACAATCTTAAATCAGTTAAATAAGCGTTTTGCACTCCTCTATAGACTTGACAGAGCGCTTCCTTGAGTAGTTCGTCATCACTAATTTTCATGTGTTCGGATCATTTTTTCAGAAACTGTTCCGCTCAACTTTGGAACCAGTCAAGAAGGTTCTTCAAGACGCTGATCTCCAAAAAAGTGAAATTCATGAAATTGTCCTTGTTGGAGGGTCAACCCGTATTCCTAAGGTCCAGCAACTTGTAAAGGATCATTTTGATGGCAAAGAACCAAGCCGTGGTATCAACCCTGATGAGGCTGTGGCTTATGGTGCCGCTGTCCAAGCAGGTGTCCTGGGTGGTGAGGAAGATACAGGAGAGGTTGTGCTTCTCGATGTTAATCCACTTACTCTGGGTATTGAGACTGTTGGAGGAGTCATGACTAAGCTGATCACTAGGAACTCTGTCATCCCAACCAAAAAGTCCCAGGTCTTCTCCACTGCAGCTGATAATCAGAACACTGTTACCATTCAAGTCTTCGAAGGTGAGCGTCCTATGACCAAGAACAACCACTTGCTTGGAAAGTTTGACCTGACTGGAATCCCGCCAGCCCCACGTGGTGTGCCTCAGATCGAGGTTGCTTTTGAAATCGATGTCAATGGCATCTTGAGAGTGTCTGCCGAGGACAAGGGAACTGGAAACAAGGAAAAGATCACTATCACCAATGACCAGAACAGGTTGACACCTGAAGACATTGAGCGCATGGTCAACGATGCAGAGAAATTTGCTGATGATGACAAAAAGGTGAAGGAACGCGTGGAAGCTCGAAACGAGCTCGAAAGCTATGCATACTCCTTGAAGAACCAGGTAGGAGACAAGGAGAAGCTTGGTGGAAAACTTTCCGAGGATGATAAAGAAACAATCACCAAAGCCGTTGAAGAAAAGATTTCATGGCTGGACAAGAATCAGGAAGCAGATGTAGAAGAGTTTAAGAAACAAAAGAAAGAACTTGAGGACGTTGTGCAACCTATTGTTAGTAAGTTGTACCAGGGACAAGGGGGAGGTCAGGAGGGAGGTAGTACTCCACCCGAAGAAGAGAAACCCGATGAAGAGGAACATGATAAAGATGAGCTTTAAGACTTATTATTATGGTAGTAAAATAACAAAGAACAATTTGCACTTCCGTCACCACTCAGTGACGTGCAATTTTTTAGGAAATCAAAGAAGCACTTTGTCACATTCTGACAGGCATTGCTAAGTGGCTATCGTCTTGTTAATCGCCTACATTGCGGGAAAAGTCATTGTTTTCTGATTGGACATTAAGCCTAGCGAGAGCAGAAGGTGTGCGGTAATATAGTATAGTGTACAGCCTATTTGTAAATGGCCGTTGCCTTTTTTTCTCAGCTCTTGTAGTAAAAACCCTTATTCTCAACTAATATTTGATCATTTTCCGACTGAAAACCATTGTTATTTATCCCAGCTCCCAAATTCTGGATTGCCAGAGAACTAGAGAAAAAAAGTTTTTCATTAATAAAAATGATAATTTGATATCTTCTGTCTCAGCTTTCTGTTGTTGTATTTTCTCCCGACTCCGCTTATTACTCCGTCGCTTAGGATCCGGTGAAAACCAGAAGCGGAATAAAAAAACAATCACAGCAACGCTCGCTCGTCGTGTTTGGTTGAGTTCTTGCGTTTTTCCGACTACTGTGGGTCACAAGCGACAGAGTTGTAAGCGGAATCAAAACGTTGTTTTCACTGGATCATAACGCTCTGTGCTTAGGTTACGAGGACTCCGTCACCAGAGAAATCCTAAGGGGTACTATAGATGAGCTAACGCAAGCTCCATTTGTTTTTGTTTGTTTGTTTGAATGTAAGTAATCAATAATAATTCCTAAACCAGAAGACTCTCTGAGCAGGGTGATTTTCAGAGAGGTTCTGAAAAAAGAAAAGATTAAAAGGAGCGTAAAACGATAAATTTCCTACACTAAAAACCGAAATGATCATAAAGAACAATTAAAAAGACAATAAATTAGCGCTAAAAAGTCACAAAGTCATTTGATTTTCTTAAAAGATATAAAACTGTTCACAGTTAAGCAACCTTGAAAATAAATATAAATATAACGCTTAAAAGACTCGAGATTATTTGACAATGGTTCCTTTGTTTTCCCCAGTTTTTTCTTACACGGGGCAGTCTCTAGTTATCTTTGTGTCGTGTATCGTAGCCGTGTACATCTTTATTTGCCAATAGATCCATACTGTGGGCTGAGATCTTACTAACACGTTTATAAACGTAAAGGCAAAGATGAAAAAGTCTGCGTTTCCCCAAGGTTAACCAACCAAGGGCTTCAAGCGCGTCGGCAGCAGTTGAGTGAAAAGGGCGGTCTGATATAGTTTTGGCAGCCTTGTTCTGCAGGAGTTGTAAATTGTTCATGAGAACAGCATTGTCCTCATCCCTCCCAAACAATGTCGGCATAATCAAAGATCGAGAGAAAGAGACTGTTAAAGAAAAGAATACTCGCACTACGTGGAAGCAAACTCTTAATCCTCCTTAAAAGCCCTAAGCGTTGATTTATCTTCTTTGAAACTAGACTGCAAAACAGTCGGTTTTTTTCTCAAAATCAGTAAAGAAATCGGTAAAGAGTGGCGTAAGAGTGTTACGCGCGAAGCGCGCGAGCCTCACACGCCCTTAGCGTCTCTCCCCAGTTTCGCTCTCTGTTTTCAGCCTCATTCTAGACCTTTTGTTTGACTGCTCGCGCGTACTTGAATACGCAAAAATACGGACTGTTTTGCAGTCTACTTTGAAACATATTCAATATGTTCCGTCCAGGTAAACTTTGAGGACAAAGTTACCCCCAAGAAATTAAAGAATGCAATGCCCTAAACTTCTTTATCAAATTCTGAGACAGATATAGCAGTGGCAGCACGCAATTTGCGATCGCTGCCGATAAGTATGGACTTGGTCTTCTCTATATTAACAGTAAGCTTGTTTCGATTCAGCCACAGAGCTATTCTCGACAGGTCTTCATTAAGAGCATTCTCGAGATCTTTTACGTTAGGGCCTGAATAGCAGTACAAAACGGTATCGTCCGCATAAAGGGATACGCTGCAGTGATTGACAGCAGTCGGCAAGTCATTTATGTAAACAAGGAAAAGTAAGGGCCCGAGGATGCTCACTTGTGGTACACCATAAATAACAGGTCGAGAGGATCGGAGTTCTCTTTGCCGCGTGAGGTGCGCTGCTTCCTATGAACAAAAGGGAGTTATTATAGAGTGCATGGCAAGCCGCTACAAATAACGCGTTAATGCTTGCGGCTATTTTAATCACTCATCTGTACAGTTTTTTCCATATTTAACGTTGTCTTGGCAATCGAAACTAAGCTGAATTTTGTTTCTTTAGACGATAAAACCTTCAAAGACGACGACAATTTGTTGGCGAACGCGATACAAAACTCTTATGCTAGTCAGGTTCAATGTCTGAGTCAAAGCAGGGACCAGAAATTTTAACCAACTTGGATCAACTTCAATTCCTCCTCTTTCTTTTTTCATTTTCTCGTTCTCAGACTCCTCACGGTCAGACAAAAGGAGTTGCCTGTGGTGGAGGCCAGCACAGCAAAGGATCAAAGCTATCAACGTTTAACAGTCGTCAGTCGGCAATCAAATAAAATACCTTTATTCTGACTTTCTATACAGTATAAGCTAAAACGCTTTCAAATATTGAGAGTCGTCGTCTTTTATCGATACTACGCTCCCTAAATCTCATAACATGGCAATAATCGTAAATAACAGTTCAGGGTTCCCTTAATCATTTATCGTGCAAGGAAACCATTCAACACGAAGAGGAGTGTAAGCGATAACAACGTTTTTAAGAAAAGCTATCCAAACGTATTTTTCACATTCAACTAAGGGCATAGCGGATACTCGAGCATTTGTGAAGCAAACAAATTCTTGTTATAAAATGAAATGGAGGGATGTCCTTACCAGTAGACAGCTATCTTAAAAGACAACCCACTGTTTTAGTAATCCCAGTGACTTGGATTCAATGACCAATTCTCTACTTCGGAAAATAAGCAGAAGAAGATGAATTTACTAATGGCACTCTAGCCTGCTAGAGAGCTCGCTTGGAGGAACGAACGATAAAAATACAGAAATTAAATTCTAAAGTAGCGGACATCACGCCCTGTTACATAAAGCAGTTCTGGTTCCAATTCAGCGGTTACTGGGGACAGGGGGGAAAATTAGCCAATAGATGACCGGCACATCCCTAGTAACCACTCCAGACGTCGTAACCGTCCCAGAAGTCTTTGCGAAAGTTAACTCGGCACCATTTCCTTCTCATTCCTAATGTGTTGCAAAGAAATTGCAGGAGGTGTGGTTTAAACTGAGCAACGTCACGTGCAACTTGTCTGCCGACGGCACAATTAGACTGTGTTCAGGCTGCAACAAAAACTTCCGCCAAGTGTAACAAGGCCTTCAGTCAAACTACAATTTGTGCTCCTCTTTTGTTCACAAGGTCCCTCTTCCCCTAACAAAAAATCCATCTAATTCACAATTTTTTTGAATCGTAGTAAGTAAACGGAAATTAAGTAAGGAAAGAACAGTGTAAATATACAGGGTGGTCAAGTGTAAACGAAACGACAGAATTCTTTGTTCATTTTTACAGCAAAAAACGTACTTATATTGAAGTAACTTGTCTTTCTATTTTCAACTACTGTGAATAAAATTTGTAACGAATTTGTTCACATACTACACATGTGACATCACATTAGCTTAAGCCTATTTCGCTCAGCTGTATTTACAAAAAATAAATACATTTGCTTGTGTTGCATGGCCATATACAGTCTTAGACCAGCTCCAGGACCTGACAAAAAAAAAGAAAGAAAGAAACGGCTCATAGAAAAACCCTTTTAAAAGAGCAGCAGGAGCAGTGACGAAAGCAAGGTAGGAGTAAAAGTTGTTCTTCGGCTGCACACTCAAATCGTTAGACATAAACACTTTTCAAGGTTGAACTACTAGTTCAAATGGATCAAAGGTAACCGCCGTTGCCAGGTCAGTGCTACTTTTCTTTTATAAAATAACAATATCAGAGTTCGACTGAGGCCTTTCGCTACCGTTAAAAAGTTAAAAACCCAAGCTGTCGCCGATGATGCCGTGGATCAGAGAAAGCTTGGATTATTAATTATTAATTTTAACAGTACAAGGAGGCCTCATTTGAACTTAAATGGTGCATGTTGTTGACCAAGACGTTTTACTGGAGTGGTCAAAAACAGTCTAACATCTCCTCGTCCTGTATACAACATTAGCTTGTCACAGTAATATAAACAAAGTCCAGGTTACAGAGAGTTCACTGTATTGGCATACTCAAATATATCATACCTTAATGGTCCCTTGACTATTAGCCGCAACAACAACATTGGAGCCCTGTTCGAACAGGATCAAAAGAAAAGGTTAAGCCGGTAACCAAAGTCATTTTACAGCTGAGATGTTTCTGCAACGCGCAATAAGGCAGACTGCAAAGCTTATCAAGAAAACAATAATGACTGAGCAATTGAAAATTCAGAAAAGCCGGCGGAACGGTTGTATATTGAGCCTCAAATCCACCCGTACCTGCGTGCCTGACTAGGAATCGGGCAAGGAAAGAAGGCAGTATTTTTTTTCCGATTGCCTGATGCACTCAGTGTGTCTTCACAAGCGACAGCTTCATGGGTGGATAAAGCTTTATTGAATGCGCGATCTCTCACGTGGCTCTTTTATCGTTTTGTTTCCCACTTTAAAATTTTTCCCCCACTAGACCACTACTAAGTAAAAAAAATGTCCCACCGAAAATTTACCGATCATACCCGAGTGAGGTCGAACACCGCTGATCGAAATACAAAAGAAGGTGAGAAACAAAAGCACTATGGTCTTCCAAAAATGCAAACTGAACAATAAGCAAAGTTTGATATGCTAACAAATGCAGCTGTCAATTTGGTCTTTTTTTCGTACATTTCTAAGAGGCCACAAACAAATGTAAAACGAATGCACTCACTGTTCTCCAGCAAACTGCGCTCACAAATTCATTCGCATCATCCTCCTTTTTATCTTTTTCCTTTAAAATAAAAAAAATATCAGGTTGTAATGATATATAATAACCAAGAAATCAGAAGTCACAACTAAGGAGTATGAAATTAGAAATGGTATGTAATAGAATCAACTGCCGCCTCTGAACTTTTCCCCATCTATAGTCGAGTTACTGAAATTATTAAAGCCATCAAATAAGATGGGTAAAAAGAGGTTCCCGGGAAGAAGCTAAGGAATATAAGGGGTCTGGGATACAAATAATGTGACTGGTATCAAAAATGGGAAAAAAGGAAAGGAAAATGGGAGATATAACAAAGAAAATATACGCTACTTGCACATCTCCCACAATGCACCTTATTTGCCCCCCCAAAATTTTGGATAAGCATGCCTTGTTTACAGTTTCTCTTGGGACGGCTATAATACCCAGGAGAAATGAAAAACAAAGGGTTATGCAAAATAGGGGGGCAAATAAGGTGCATTGTGGGAGATGTGCAAGTGCAACAACAAAGCAAAAACATTGAAAAGAATTGAAAAAGGTGTTACACACAGCGAACACATTTTATACCAACAGAGTACAAGCTAGCTAGAATCACTAAAATTACTATCTGAGAGTTAACATTCTAGGATGTTGTCCACATATTTGCAAAGTATTTGTCAGAAAGTGGATGCTTACATTTGAGTGATCACACTTAAAAATTTTGCTAACCAAACTCTAGGCCGCATTACAATTAAGGTTTAAAACGTAAAAAGGCGTGGGGTTACACTGAATTCCAACTCACCAGTACACTTCTCACAGTATCAAACTTGAAGGTCAGTAGCTGCTTAGAAAGGCCCTTGTAGTACAAATATAGTGAATTGTTTTCACTTCCTGTAAATGAAAAGATTCGCTCACAACTATTTTGAGGAAAATTCACGGCCAGCAAGTGCTACAGCTTAGAACAAACCTATACAGACGAACAGACAAACAGGTATACAGACCGGTGAACTGAAACCACATTTAACTTCTACACACCACAGGCCCACGGAAGGGGTGTTGATGTCGAAACATTGGGTGAACGCAAAGGTTGGTGAACGCCAAAGGAGGAAGGTTGAAGGCCATACGTTATTGATCAAGCATGGGGTGAAGATGGCTGGATATTGGTCAAGTTATTTTGTTGCGTTGTCATGGCCGGACCGAAACCGGGACCGAAACTGGGGCCGATATCGACCCATCGTGATCGAAAAAGCTTGGTCAATAGAGGATTTAATACATGGCGTGACCAAATCTGGAAATTTAAAGCGGGCGAGATAGGCCCAAGTTGCCCGCTCGGACAGCAATTCACAACACAGGATTCAATTCATGTATCCCGTTCGCAGAACTAGCCATGTAAAAATAATTCTTCATCACCCCTTCCCCCTTTACCAGCACAGGATGACAGTTACCGCACACGTAGAAGCCGTGGTGATACGTGTGCTTGTCAGGTAAACGGCTTGGAAACTAAAATTTCGAGGAAGTTTTTGGACTTTTTACATTCAGGGCATGAATTTTTCGTCATTTCAGGCCATGGAACCAAAAAATGAACCTAGCTAGCTGTAAAAAGGGGCAATACGGAGGAAATGCGTCCTAGCCGGCATGATCACATGCTGTTTACGGAAAATTCTCTCATCCATGTAAGGAAATTCTGTATTTTAAAGCCTCCCCTAGGGCATGACTCAGCAACTGAGGACATTTCTGCTACGTTTTCAATGTTGGTTAGCATGCAAGGATTTTTCCCATGCCTATCGTCAATGATTTGCTCACTGGTAATAGAGGGGGTGGCCCCAGAGTGGTTTTGCATTGAAATTGGCATGCAACAGAATTTCGCATGCCCTGTAAGTACAATTTGAGGTTCCGTGACCTTCTCACCCAGGCCGCGAGAAGCCTAGGTTCTAGTAATAAGTAATTCATACCCAGCAAAATCTCCGGCATGCCGGGCATTCCACATTCTCTGACATGCCCGGCATGACAAATTCTCTAGCATGCCGGGCGTGCCATAATCTGGGTCATGCCGGGCATGCCAAAATCGGTCCCTGGCGTGCTCTCAACGCACAGGTTATAATTCCTTGAATCTACAGATATTTTAAGCCTGGCTAAAAAAAAAAACTAAACAGATCACCGTGCTTATCTTTTGATGTACGGTTACACGATGACGTCATTGCTTTTCCATTTGGTTGTTCCAGCGAAGTTTCAATAACAAAAGCTCTAATTTTCACAAGAAAGTAAAACCCTGAGGGATTCTGCCGTAGTAATAAAACAGCGTCATCGTGGAGATGACCTGTTGGGGGATTGTAAAAACTCCTCACCCCTTTTAATGAGTCTTTAATAGGATTCCCATTTCACATTGCGAATAAAATGGAATTGACTGAAATCAGTAAAAAGAGAGACAGACACTATTTTCATTGTATAATAAAATGCATCTATGTTCCATGAAAGCTTTTAAAAATACAAGGTTATAGAATATCTTTCAAAGTTCATTACAAACTGAGCTAAGCCCCAAAATCATTGTTCATTTTTCAGTAAATTATGATGTTTGACAATGCAATGTGCTTGAATATAACGTTGCAATTACAAATCTCTCTAAAGCAAATTTCCCTACGTTAGAAAAGCTGTTTTTATCTTGTTTCACATTTTGATAAGGAGTCTGAGTTCCTCTTTCTTGTTTTGTAGGCTTGCCAGGGATTAATGTTTTTGTGTCATTACCAGTGTCTGTTTTCTCTGTTTTTAACTCAAAGTAAGTCAGTAATAACTGACAGTATCAAAGAATTGCTCTCTAGAAAAGTAATTATCTCCTCGTCATGTCTGGAAGTTACCTGTAACAAAAAAGAAATGGAATGTTAACACATGCAAGGGCAATATGAGAAAAAAGAAAAAGAACATGTAGAGCTCAGCTTCTCTTAACATATTTTCATACTGGCTTGTTGAGTCTGTTAAAGGTCGCAACTGCTAATTGTCTGAGGCTAATTTCACAAGAGTGTGCAATTGAGATAAATGCATGGTAAATAAAGTGAAAGAAACGTGGTTTCACATTAGCCAATTTACATTGCGTTGTTCGATGATGTTTACACGCTCTTCTACTGCGAAATAAACCTTTGCATTTGGATTTGCAAGTCAAGATTATACCGAGTTTGACTGGCTTAATTGAACAACAGTTTCATTTTTAAGCAGGTAAGGTGTAGACCCATATAAAGCCGAAATATGTAAAGGAAACTCAGCGAAAACTTTTTCGCATCTTTTTGTGGCGATATTCTCCCACGGCCCGTCAACTGATTAGGGGATGCGAAGAAAAAATAAATTAGGACCAAAGGTTAAAGCCTGTCCGTTTACACCATTTGGTATGTTACCTAGAGTTCTAATAAATAGGTCATAAAATAGGATCTAACGAGAGCGAATTTGTTTCTCAATCGGTGTATAAAAAAGTGAAGCTATCAAATGAGAAGTTTATAGAGTATCAAAATTATTATAGTAAAAGCTCATATAATTAGGAAAATTCCTATACGAAAACAATGCTAGTGACATTAAATTGATCAGATAAAATTCTGAGAAAATATGTCGAATAAAAGCCTCATTGTTTGCTTTTGTTTTTGCGTAAAGGTAAATTTTTCGGTCCACAAAGCAAAGTTGAAAAAGCGACTAAATCTTAGTTTTTTACATTGAACATGTTTATTAGCTTAGTTTTCGTCCGTTTTAAAAGCTTTATAACCCAGTGATAATTTTCGGGTTAAAATAGTACAAAATCATTTCAAAAACCATGTTCATTTAAAGTACAGCCAGCAAACGTGAACATTTTGTAATTCAAAAGTCGGACCCAGCCAGGTTGTTTAAGCTTAGAATTATTTGCATTTTAGCGTCCTATAAATTTACCAGAATCGCCTCTCAGAGGCTTACTGTAGCAAAGCATTTTGTAGTACACTCGTAGACAAGCAATGTAAGCCTTAAGTCTTTGCTTGGATGAGATGTCCAAAAGAAATATTAGTTTTGTGGACCTAAACGCACATTCACAGACTACTTATACTGAGTTGTTTACAACTTTGCATTGACACCTGCAGCATGTTCATTTTTATAAAGCGAAATCCAAATCTGATTTTGGCATTTGATTTACGGATATTTTATTTTGTCTCCAAAAGTGATTGTAATATCCGTTTGATTGTCTTTCGAACAACAGTCAAACTATGCAGCAAAAATAAGTAACTTTACCAGTACAGTGAAAAAATATGACCGTAGGTGCCAAAAATAATTATACTCGAGCTATAAAATTAGATCTGACTTTTTTTAGCTTTGGTTTCTTTATTTTTGAGGTTTTCTCTAGTCTTCTTAGCAGCAGAAGAAGATTACAAGACATACAATCAGAAACAATCCGAAGTGAACGAGTTGACAACCACTTATGACACTTATGCCGGAGTTCTTAGGCATGCTCAACAGTAAGATAAACTGAATGCCAAAAGACTAATTCACGGGATTTGTTCGATATTCAGGCTTTTTCTTTACCAAATTAATACTAAATTTGTACTTACAGTCTCTCGCAGAATCCATTTCTTGTCCAGCTTTCACCAACATCTCAACCATGCACCGCAGAAAAAAAAGACAAACAAATGCGAAGAGACATGACGACATCGTGAAGCCACAACTGCCACGCTACAACAAACTAGATTCATCGTCATCCGAAAACACTTCTGCGGAAATTCGGCCGATTTCGTGCGTGCTCGGGGTATCTTCGGATGACGCAGATGACGTTGCTCAAAGGACTATCGTCAGCAAGGACTAAAAAGGTTGCGAGATTCGCATAACCGACAAGAAGCGCACTGAAAAACTAAGCAAAATCTCTCTGAGAAGGCAGTCCAAATTCACCAGATCAGAACGTCTTTGCAGTATTAACGTCGTACTCTCGTACTGACTTGAACGACCTGGTAAGCTTAATTTTCACCAGTCTTTTATGCTGTTGACCAGGAAACATTCCGACGCGATAAAACTTAAGCATGAATAAGTTTATACGGAGAAGATTTGTTATCTTATTGTTTAAGACGCTTTTCCGGGATCAAATTTAAATATGGACCCAGAAATGTCAGTATCGGTTTGAAATAAAAGGATTAATCTTTGATTGCAAGTTAAGTATTCTATTTTATGCATGAATAATGTTGTTTTGTCGTGCTTTTTATTTATAAATCCAGGCTTCTGTCTTCGGTTTTGCCAGTCGATCCCGTGACACACATTGTGACAAACATGACTTTTTTTGTTATAATCTGCATTTATTGCCAGGCATGAAACCTGTCATTTCAAGCTCCCTAAGATATATTTGGCGATTATATGTGATTCTCAGGATATGATGCTGTAGCGAACATCAAAATCAGTCTCGCTGGGCATGCCAATTTCTTGCCTGGCATGCCGGACATGCCAAACCAACTGGCTTCACGATCTGCATGCCCGGCATGCCAAACCAGAGGAGCAAAAACTGGGAATGAATTATCAACCCGGCGAGAGATCTGGGAACTAAGTTTAGCTGGGTCAATTTTGGGCTGCGAGGGCATGAACCCATTTTTTCCATGCCTATGAGATGTTGTTTCTAAGTACCAATGTTCCCTTGAATTTTGTCATGCCTAAATATATAAAATTTTCCCTCTCTCATTAATCCTCAGACTGGATGCGATTTTTACGCTCGCTAAGCATGTTCAACTGAAAATCATGCCCATACCCTTACTCAAAACAAAATGCTATCAAATTTTAGTTTCCAAGCCGTTGGTAGCGAAAGCGCGGTGGAGAGTACTCAAAAAATATAATTATATCTGTTCTCAAGGGTATAAAGATTCTTGAAGTAGCCAAAGCGTTGCGAAACAAGAATCACCCACCACAAGCAACGTAATCTCCATTGGAAGCCAGTCCAACAAAGTTCTTTTCGTTAACGTGGCCTTTGAAAGTTCGAAGACAGTGCGGCTTACTGATGTTCCAGAGTTTTAATTGACTATCTGTTGATCTGCAGAAAACAAATGAACAATAAAATTCAAGTTAAGCGTGAACACTGGTAGACCTTTGGCTTGAAGTGACAAATAAATAAATTTTTGAAAATGTTAACTGAACAAAAATTTACAAGAGGGACCCTGAAAATAAATTGCTTCGGTTCCCGGATGCAAAGTCCGATTTAACAATTACAACGTTTAAAGGATCAAGACGGTTCAGAGAAGTCGCCATTGAGACGTTCAACCGCTCGTTTAAAGGACTAGCCTGTGCCAGGCTCCAATACAGTAGTACACTGGTGCAGTAAAAAATGATGCGAAAACGCGCGGGGACTGGGGAGAGAGAGGCCGGGTGTTATTTTTCCAGTATTTTTCACGCTACCGCACTATTCCCAGATCTCGCTCGTCCTATTTTCGTGACTGCCCCTCTATCAGCTGAGAGCCTGTACAGGCTACAAAAAGACGCACTTGGATTGGTATGCGTCCAGCCTAAAAGACTCAAGGTAATGCAAAGAACTCCGTAAACTAGAAAACTTACGCAGAAACGATTTCCTCCGTGTTTATAAATTTTGTGTATGATACAGCTTTTCTATGTCCTTTAAAAACTGTTATTGGCTTAGTTTGGTTCCGTAAATCATAATAATGAACGCAGTGATCTGTAAAGAAAGAAGACAGTTTTATCTTCAATTTAGTGGGGATTTTATCCCTCAAATATTAATAGTGGTACCTTCCAAAGTAAAACCTGTTCAGAGGTAAACCTGCCTACCTGCTGAGCCAAAGGACAAATGGTATCTACTCTCTGGGTTGAATTTTACACAGCAAACATTAGCTTTAGCTTCCAAACAAGCCACCGAGTGCTCCATGTCTGTTGACCATAACTTGACTAGAAAACGGAAAAAAATACGTTTGTGAGTTGACGATAATTTTAAATTTTTGCCACGAAAGATCTCAGTGAACTCGAACCAGTCACATGCTAGTTCTTTTAAAAAATTCAACCACAAAATATTATACTTGACGTCATCTGATCGATGCCAAAAGCAACCTTTTTTGAATTGGCTGCACACATCATACAGATCTCCGCTACTCAGATCTGCTAACCTATAATATTTAGGGCTGTCATTAAGGGCCGGGGACGGGAATTTCCCTCGGCTGCTATGAAGGTGAACCCGGGGTTATTTTCATCAAAATGAAGAAAAGTAGAACCAAAAAAATCCCTAGCCGTTTGATTCTACGCTTAATTGTTGTATTTAGCCGGCAAATTGAAATCTTAGCGACAGCCCTGAACATTACTCTAACCCTCAGCCTTTGGTGAAAAACGGTGACGAATTGTTGCTCGTGGATGAAAGTAAACGGACAAATAATTCATTACCTTTTGCATCGTCAGATCCAGAGGCTAAAAGTTTTGGATCAACATGATTAAAATCTACGCTCCAACACCTCTTCTCGTGCTCCTGTAGAACAAAATACAACATTTCTCCAAGTCTAATTCCCACCAGACTACGAAATAACTTTTACTCAAAATAATCAACGAGTTCAGCTTTTTGCCCGTATACTTCTATCAGATACTGCTCATGCAGTTTCAATGTTTTACAGATTTAAATTAAGCACACCAGGTACCTGAAAAGATCTTGTTTTTGATCCAGTGAATGCATCCCATAACGTAACAGTGCCCTCATAATCACTGCTGGCCAGCAGCCCTTTGTGATATGAGCTCCAACAGATAGAACTGCAACAACAAGAACAACAAAACAGTCTATGTTGGGCCAGAAAAATTGTTGTGTGTATAACGAAGGACAACAGACGACTCTCTCTTAGCGGACACCTTAATATGACGGACACCTTTGAGTTGGTCCCTGCCTCTCATTACCCCTTTATTTGACTCTCTATAAGACGGACAACACACTACGACGGACACTTCGTTCCGGTCCCAAAGGTATCCGTTAAAGAGAGAGTTGACTGTAACTGCAATTAATGGCTTTTCTTGCAATAAGTTTATAAGACAGTTTCCATCTTCATTAACAAGAGATTCTACGGATTCGACTGATGTTATTGTTGGTGTTATTGTGAATGGCCACATTGAAGGATTTAATTCATATCCGTCCTCAGGCTTAGCATCCCTTTCTTATTGGTCTAGTAATCACAGCTCTTCAAGTTTCCAACTAGAAATCCTGGGCTATCTGAATGAATTCAAGGGTTTCCAGTGAAAATCAGGGCCTTTAGATCTGTGAAAAGTCAGACTGAGTTGGTTCTTTTTGCTGCTCACGTTAAACGTTTACTTAACTTGCACAACTTAATTGAGAAAATGCATTATCAATATTTCATCCATAAATGTAACAGTTAGAAGCCTATGACATGTCGCCGCTGTAAATGAACTTATCCTACCTAATTTTTGAATTGCAAACCATTTCATTAACAGGACAGTGAATATCCACAACATCTCTTATCACTGTTCCATATTCAAAAACCTGATGTTGAGCAAAAAAAAAATACATAATACACAAAAGTTAAACTCAAGTATCTAAGTTTGTCGGCAGCAGCACAGGCATAAGGCAAACTTGCAAAGCTCTCCAATACAGTCAACTTTGACAATATGAACAGCACACTATTACTGACATTATACCACTACATGAGAAATTTCTTCCATTTGATTGGCTTAGAGCAGTGGTATTTCACCTTAATCTGAAATACCTACATGTGAAAATCACAAACTTTTTCTGGGTAGTAGTATAAACAAATAATAGCACGATTTGTACGCAATATTTGGCATAAATACCACTCGTGATATTTCAAAATTGTCTCAAATTTCACTCGCCTAACGGCTCGTGAAATTATGTATAACAATTTCAAAATAAAACTCGGGGTATTTATGCTAAATATCACTACAAATCATGTCATTACCTATACACACCCAAATGCCTGGCAAAATTATAGACGTTTGACTAAAAGAAGAGATCCCTCGGATCATGAATCCACACTAAGAAAGAATTCATCAGTTTCTTTGTTGCTCAATTTCCGAACTATCTAAGATCGCTGATCCTGATTCAGATCGTCCCAAAGGAAGGCACCCTCAAGACAGCAATAACATTTACTTCTACTGTTTTTATCATCCTGCAATTACCCTTTTTAGTCAGGTCAACGCTTTTACTGTTTTCTATTGCACATCAAATTAAATTCCATCTCCACCTCTTAAGAGCAGCTTTCCACACTCAATGTTACTATAAACTACCTGTGTAAAGCCTCAGAAACCTGCTACTTAACTACTCTCGCAACCTGCTACTTAACCCTTAAAGCTCTGATAGCCAGACGAATTAAACACTAGCAAAAACTGACTCTTGGAATTGGGATATATACCTCCTGCATGTCTATAAACGCGTAGATTGAAGTAAAAAAAGAGACTTTCTGCCCTTGATGTCTCCCAACAACGAAATTGAAAACGAAACGGTTTCTTTCACATATAGTACCTTAATTTTCTTTGTGACTCCAGCAATCGCAAAGTAGTCAAAATCACGGTCAAATTCAATACTGTATGGAAAAAGAAAACAACACATTGTTAAACTTAAGAAAATGCTTAATAGGAGGGGACTAATAAATTCCTTTTTTCACTTCTTTTCACTCAAAAAATTTAACAACTATAACTGTAGCAAAAGACTCTCAGATCTTTATAGCTTGAACTGCAAAGAAAGTTATGAAGTTGTCAGAACAAACTGGCTGCTGAAAATCAGGGTGACAAAGATCTTTGTCACAAAGCCAGCAAATATGCTTGACCATCCAGACTTTGTGCAATTCTAGCTTCAATTTTCTCACTATCTCGTAAAAACAAAAGATTTTTCAGCTAGTATCTCTATTTGAGCATTATTAATAATTGTCATCAGCAGCTGGGTCATACCGTTACGTACGGTCTCACCTTGAAACAATACTAGATGAACTGTAGATGTCACTGGCATAACTAAGTGTTGCTAAGCAACGGAAACCACTGAATTTTGTAAACTTGGCGAGGCTTTCAGTGAAATAATCCAAGGCATCTGATGCTCCGGCATCACCTGACAGACATTGAATACACACAAATTAAACATAGAAACAAAAAACTACTTAAATCACACATTGCGACTGACCACTAAGGCGGACAATAAGTCTGAATTTCAAAACAAGTTATTTCGAGTACTGAGACAAAAGTTATGCCCCTGTCAGTATATTTACTACTATATTTGCTTTTATCTTCATCGCTTTCACAATTGCAAAACACCTTTGCATCGTTTGCCACTATTTCATCTATCTTTTGTCACTGTTTCAAGGATTTTTTGTTTGTCGGAATTTTTCTCCCACGAGGCCTCAACAATGGCATTTCTTTGAACATTTCAAATCCAAAGTTTCTTACTTGGTAAATCACCCTGTCTGATGGAGAAGTAGCATCTTTCAAGATCATCAAAGTGTTGGTGAATTCGTTTCCTTCTTGAAGCCAGACTAGTGCTGCATAACAAATGCTTTGCTCCCTATGACAGACAAAGATGCACTATAAGTGTTAAAAGTTACTGTAAAATTCCGAAAATAAGCCCCGGGGCTTATATTTTTCAAAGGCCCTTTTTGAGGGGCTTATTTTTGGAGGGGCTTATATACGGAGGGGCTTATGCCGGAGGGAAATTTTGTGTAGCTTGCAGTGGGAAGGAAATTTACCATTTTTGCTTTGTTTAACTTAGTTTGTATTCGAGGGCAAATTCCAAGTACAAGCCCCCTGAGGGGCTTATATTTGGAGGGGCAATTTAACGGAGGATTTTTTGCATTACGATTTTAGGGGGCTTATATTTGGACGGCTAATACATGGAGGGGCTTATTTTCGGAATTTTACGGTATACTTCAAATGCTCGAATTAGAACCTTAGGCACTTTTTTCTTAAACTTCAGATTTGAGAAGGAGCACTAATTATTTGAAGTGGTAGGGGGACTTGCTTCATTTTTTCATTTTTTTTTCCAAATTTAGACCCCCAAATATTGAAATTATTGTTCTCATTTTAAGTCAAAACAAACTGTAACAGTAAATAAGAAAAACTTGAACCTGCCTGTAAGACAAAACACAAATCCGTATGTAGTTGCACTCAAAGTTCCCAAGAGTTCTGGGAATAAAATCCTTCTATTCTGCTTGTATCTCATATTTTTGTAAGTGATTTTTATTGAGCGGAGGGAGGAGGAGGGCAATTAACCAAACGAGGGTGCTTAAGTTACCATTTTTTAGCCTCAAGGGTGTGCTAATTGAAGCATTCTTGTATTCCTACAACATACATTTTAGCATGTTCACAGGGCTGTCACCAAACTGGAGTGGCAGGGATTTTCCCTGGGTAGTATGATCAGCACCATCCCTGGCTACTTTGAGAGGAAACAAAAGGAAAGTAGAATAAAGAACTTTGTAGCTGCTCAATTCTCGCCTACTGACATTAGCATATATCTGACAAACTGAAAGCTTGGTGGCAGCCCTGTGTACAACATCCATGAATCACGAAAACTGCAGAGTAACGTAAATTTTCAAGTTTTTCAGCTACATACAGACAGGACTGGAAATAACAGTCAGTCATTGTACAGGTGTTGACCAAAATTAGTAAACACTCTATGGCAAGTTGGTCATGATCACCAGGGCTAACAAAACTGAAATTCCAGCATGTCCTTTAGGCAAGCAGCTCTCGCATTTTGCTTGCCCAGGACAACTTCTTGCTCGTCTTTGTTAATAATTTTGTCAGAGGATGGATTGCCAGCACCCTTGTTGCCCATTGGACAAGTAAGCTCTTTAACCCTTTAGGTCCCAAGAGTGACCAACATCAATTTTCTCCTAACAACATCAGCAGATCATCAAGAGTAAAGGTTACGAGAATTACTAAATTGATTACCAAAGGAAGAACGCTTTGATCCTAAATCAAATTTTCTCAACTAGTAGCAAAAGAAATATATGGAGATCAGTCTGGAGAATTTGTATGTGGATCTTGGGGCTTAAAGAGTTAAATGTTACATGTGCTTACCCAGCAAGAAAATCTACTTGTCCCAGACTACCAGAGGAGCCTTTTTTCAAGCCCTGGGTCAGTGACAACATCTGGCCATTTTTTTAATCATCTATGACTACATGACAATGGTATCAAATGTTATTGTTATACTACATACATGCTGGCTTCCATTAAAACCATCTTGAGCTGCTTCTGTTTGGTCACATGAGTCATCATGACTGAAAGACAAAAAATATTGCATAATATACAAGTATATTTATATGTGGTATCTTAAGCCTACCCTAATGCAAAGGCTCCCATGTCAAGCATTTGAAACATGTAGGTAGAACATCACCAACACATTCCAAGACAAGTTGACTTGAGGGAAACTTCATTAACTCTTCTATTTACAAAACATCAGCACACATAGACAGCAATACCAGACTGCATCTGCAACTATCCAGATATCTGTAGTTGTTTGACTGGCCTTCTAGGTTGGGGGTTGGGCAATAGGTTTACGTCCCACACCCATAAAAAATATCAGTACTGAGACCAGACACACTTTTCACACACTTTTCAGGATAGCAGTGGAAAGAATAAAGAGGCTAGCCGAATACCCCTAGATTTGTGGAGAGAGCAAAGGCGGGGTAAGGGTTGTGGGATGAATCAAGAGCTTGTCTGAGGGATACAGCAGGTTAGCAGGGAAGTGTGGAGGCCTTATGCATGGTAATGAAGCATGATGAGGGGAGATAGGTAAGTAGGTAGGTAGGTGGTTGTTTGCCTGTAAAGGGGTGATTGTTTCTCATATGCATTCTTGGTACCAAGTTGGTTTTCTGAATAATTCAATTTCAGCATGGCCTTTCCTTCCCTGTGGAAACACTGCCACTTCATCGTTACTATGTTGCTATGTATCACAAACACCGAAATTCAAAATAGTCACCTGGTTGAAGGTTCAACGTCTGAACCTACTGAAACAGGTGCTGTTTTGGCTGTTGGAGTTGTTGGTACAGCATGATCCTGTAAAGGAAAGAAATGAAAAAAGGTTTCAGTTTCTTGAAATGTAATGAATGAGTGTACGCAAATAATGACACCATGAAATAACACTGTATTAGCTTAAAAAGTAACAATATCTTAACCAAAGGAGTATTTTGGTTAACACCCTCCCTGTTCCCATACAGCTTCATAAGTGTACTTTCCTTAAGAAACGAAGCACAAAAAATCAAGTACGTTATTTTAACTCTTCAACTCCCACACCATGTTATGATTGGATGAAATGTTACCGCAACTTTTATATCAGTAGATGAAATCCTATTATGTCGCCATACAATTGAAGCTGTGATTTTTTTTTTCACATTTTGCCACTATCAGGAGCAGAAGACTTAACACCAGCTTAACAGATAAACTATGACAACAAAGTGGACTGGAAGCAAATGATATTAGAGTTTTCTGGAGGCAAGGGAACCTAACATGTGGCTGGTAACTCTACAGGTACAGCACCAGTCATGACAAAATATAATGGCAGTTACTTGTGTCGCTGTTCTTACAATGTTTGGCTCAAGACTTAATTTTTGATTATTGAAATAAGTCTAGAGCCTCAAGAAGAGGCTTTCAAGTTTCATTACCAAGTTTTGAGTCAAAACATTATTTTAATGAGCTTGTCACATGATTGATCTCTTGGGAACACATTCCACAAATTCCACACCCTTATTTCCTGAACTGGTCAATGCTGTATGAAGGTCAATGAAACAACTTAGGAAATGTAAGATGAAAGGATAGGAAGGAAATCCTTTCCCTTTTAAACATACCACTTCACCAACCAAAAGTCTGTCAGCCCCTGGAAGAGTCAGTAAAGGAACTGTCAATGGATACTGCCGGTTGTGATTAGTTATCATCTCTGTAACTCTCTTCATGTCTTCATCAATGAGTTTCACTTCTCTTGTCAGCTGATCAAGTTGCTAAAAATAATGATATTTATAATAAATCAATGATTGGACAGGAGCTCAAGCCTATGGAAGAAAAAAACAATGTACCTCTTGCTTGTGGCGTTTAACCTGTGAGAGGAAATCCTTCAAAAGCTCATGTTGGACTGCTTGACTATCCTATAAAGTTAAAAAAACATTGAAATACAATGACCAAACAACAAAATTTGTGATCTTTTAAGCTTTTTTAAGATGAAAAACACTAGTTATTTCAAGAGTTCTGGCCAAATTTGTATGCTGAGTCCTCTGGCTTTTCTATTCTATTCATGTGCAATATACGTGTTGTAGTTAATTTTTTATCTCAGGTAATTTTTACTTTCCTTTTGTTGCAACTTCATTAGCATATATTACCGTACCCAAAAACAAAAGAAAAACAGAAATTAACTGAAATAAAAAATCAACTACAACATACGCATACTGTCCAATTACTTCGGCATGACACATACTGTCCTTTAAACTGACGTATAAGCCCTAAAATTTAGGGCAGCTGATAGCCATTCAGAATTGAGATTTATAATTAATAAAATAATAAGATAATATTTAACACATTTGCAAGGTGGTCAAAACAAAGAAACAAAGTCCTGCAATAATATTACAACCAACTAGATTGAATCAGTCCTGTATTTGTATTCAGAACATCTTTTTTTCCAGAGGAAAAATACTTGGATCTTCTTTCCAAATGCAAGAAAAGTTGTTACCTTGTTATAATTACTGACACAGGTAAACTCACAAGAGCAACCTCTCGGCTCAATTTTTTTCAGAATTATTTTAACATGTGATGCAATATTGCTACACTGGTTTGATGACAACTCTGTAGTTGGAATAATAGCATCTAACTTTTCACTAAAGTGTGTACTGTACAGTTCTTTCTGTTGGTTATTGCCCAGGTGGGGGTGACATGACTATGTACATGCACTGCACTGGCCATACAAAGAGAAATTGCTCTCAAACAGATTATACAAACTGTAGTTCAATGGTTTTAAAAAATATTTCTAATCTTGTCATTCACCACATTATAAAATGATGCTGATTTGCTGTAGTAATATCTGATGTCCCAAAAACTGACTTTGTTTCATACTTACTGCTTCAAGCTGTTGTTTCTTCTGTGTCAATACATCCAGCAAGTAATTAACATCTACATGTCAAAGAGTAGAGGTTTTAACAATAAAAATACATGTTCTTTATCACTTACACTGTAGCTTGCCTAATTCCAGACAGAATAACTCAAGTTGGGAATTACTTAACAACCACTGAATGAGGCTGAGTATGATGTGAAGGATTATTTATGCAGTGAAGGATAATGTTGTCCACCAAAGCCAAAGATCAAAGTGGATAACAGCCTCCCATATCTGATTATCCTTTGCATCATACAAAAACTGAATTCAATAATCATTGTTTTGGTATTCATTCAGAATGTTTCTACGTTCTTAACAACCTTGCATCCTTATGGACTTTCTTCAAAACTTTGTCTATTTCTCACATGGTTTCAGGATTTAACCAGATACTCCTTTCTTGCAGATACTCTTCAAAAAGTTATGACATCTATCAAGCATTTTTTGGGGGGATATTCTTGCATTTCTTCCATTCAGTTTTAGTCAGAAATTTGGCTAATTTCTCATTGAAAAGCTGTGAACTCTTTGTTTGTTCTCAGTTATGCATAAACAGCTAGGCTGCTGTGTCACTGCCTGGGAACAAAGTTGTTATTATATAGTGGGGCAATATACCGTAAACAATCTAATAAACGCCCACTCTCAAATAAACGCCTCTCATATAATAAATGCCCCCCTTATGCTGTTAAGTTAGTGTTAAATGCCCCTCGCTAATAAACGCCCCCTGTCTAATTAATGCCCCCCTTGAAAATTGCCCCCAAATACTAGGAAATGGCAAAATAGAGCAAAATCAATCAATTTATTAATTTCATTGCTTGATTAACATCAGTTTGTGTATCATGTCATGTTCAATTTCTAGATAAGTTGTCAGCCCGCAGTCGAGATTCTGTTAACACAAAAACGTTTTTAGCCAAAAGCATACTGTATACAGTTAGGTTGAGTTCGTTAAAATAAGTTACGAGAATAAATGCCTCTCTCTTTTAAACGCCTCCCATCTATTAAACGCCCCTTCTTGGACCCCTAAAATTAAATAAATGACCCGGGCGTTTATTAGATCATTTACGGTACCATCAAATAAGTTGGTTATTGGGCTTCCAAATAGGCCAGCGCCGGCTGGTTATGAAGAATTAGCTGAGTAGCAGGGGGATTGGAGCCAATCAGAAAAAACAAAATATTTTGAACGTATACCATAAACTCATTAATCATTATTACTCAATCGTTCTTGTTACTTGTATTACAGTAACCATTGCCACATATTAGAACAGAAAAGCAACCTTTTTAATACAAACTAAGGATTGTAAAAGCAGAGACCTTTACCTGCTAAGTCCCACTCATTTTCACCAGATAAAATTTCTTGAACTCCACCACCTGATACCTGAAGCTTAAAAAAAAAACAATTATTATTTAATACAAAGGAGGCCACATCACATGTCCACGACTTGTATGTTCAACTGCTTTACAAATGCCTGGGATACAGTCATTTTTGCTAGAGCCTCCTGTTTCAGGTTCATTAGAAGTTGATGGTGCCTAATGCTTTTACACCTACATGAAATAATAATAATATTATTATTAATCCTTCATAAATTTACTATGGTCTCTCTCAACATTCCCCCCTGTTGCACATGTTGTGGTTTAGCTTTGTTTCAAAAGTAGAGCTGAAATCATTACATCAGTGAGATGGACGTCAGACAATTTTCCCACAAAACCAAAAGTTAGAGCTACATGCTTTATGTTTCAGTTAACTGAGTTCAAGATTGAAAACTTACCTGAGAATCTGGAAGCATCTTGCTTTTCTTTTGCCCTGTTCTTTCCTTGAATTTTTGAACAAGCTCATTTACTGCAATCACAAAAATTATATAAAATGACACTCAAACAATACATAAACGTAAAAGTCTCAGCACAAACTACAGAGAACACTGGAGAACTTTTGCCACAAATAAAAGAAGCAAATTCATATTAAGTGCTGCGTCATGCAAGAATATTATACATCTGTAGATTACACACTTTGAATTATTTTTCTGAGAAACCCAAGCACTTGATGGGATAATACACAGCTGCAAGAATTGATCACTTTAAAATTTAATACATCCCCAAATCCCACCCACAATGCTCAAGCATGATAACATGCACCCCCTCTTGACATCTGTTCTCAAACAAGTTGTTCTAGGCAGCATATCAGAAAAGGCTCTTCCCTTCATGATGCAGCATTTTCCTCTCTCTTTTCTTTTACAATATGTTTTTTAATCATACCTTGGTTGCAACTCAAGTGGTAAATTATCGAATTTAATCCTTGATAAATATGCAAAATAATGATTAAATAAAATAAATAGTGGCCATTATTTAAACTTGCTAAAGAAAATCTATGGCTTAAAGATGATGACACTCTTGCCTTACTAGATTTAACCCCCAATTTGGTTGGGAAAATTATCCCTAGTTGGTCAGGTCAATTTTCTCTGAAAAATAATCTTGTTATATAATAGCATTACAGAGATAGCACACTTAAGTGTGCTAAATGTGCCAATGTGTAAGATCTATGTACAAGTTATCCTTAAATAATTACCATAACATAGTTTAAAAAACGTTTTGTAAAATACTTACAAAGAAAGTTAGGAAAAATCTGATCGGTTTTGTCTATAATGTAGTTACATTTGGGGCAGCGGTTGCTTTCTTCAAGGCTTCGAGTAATACACTGATAACTAAAAAGTAAAACCAATTATTTAACAGCTGTGTATGTAAATTTGAGTGAGGTTGGTTGAGAGTGAGGGTGGAAGGAGGTGACAGTCTGAATTATTCACTCTCATAATTTTAGAGTCCAGTGAGAAATACCATACCTTCACCATTTTTAACTCATATCTCACAAGTTATTAGTACTACAACTATTGGCAACAATAATTTTTTGCTCAAGAAAATGTCAGAAAGTTTGGAAAATGCTGAAGACAACTGACCAAGCTCAAGCTTAAGCTAAACCATTACTGCAAATGGAATAATAATGATAATAATAATAATAATATTATTATTATTATTAATATTAATCATAATAACATTATTATTACTATTATTATTAATATTACAATAACTATTATTATTGTTGTTTCTTCTAAAAAAATTTTATGAATTTAACAATATTCTGAATATGGAAGACCAGAGTGATTACTTATATCTTTATTTATAACTTCAAAGATAAATTTCAACTTCTAATTTCTTGGGGCATTGATATGTATCTTTGCTAGAGGCCTGATCAGCCTATATCAGTATCAGTGGATTAACAGAGATACTCAAAAGGACAGGACACAGAAACAACTATTAAGGTAGCTTTTCAGCTAGTCAACGAAGCCAACTGTCACACTATCAAGCTCTTGAACCATTAAAGTCAAGCTGACTGGCAAGCTAACAAGTTGTCAAGTCACTGCTCCCTCAAAAGCAACCATGCATTCTGCATACGCTCCCAGGAAGAAGGTTACAGTACAGAGAAATGTCACTTTGAGAGCACTGTACCATGAACTTTATAATCACCTCTCTTAGAGCCAGAAGACAAATGAGGGCATAGCTTTATTGTCAGGGAGCTCAAGCAATAAGGACGGCGATGGCTATGAAAACATCACTTAAAAGGTAAAGTTCCGCTGATTCAAACTTTGTCACCCTCATTCCATCTCGTTTAGTTCAGGAAAAGAAAAAGAAAGTCCTTGTACTGTGTTCACGTCCTCCACAAAACGCGAAATCAGGCATAATCAAATCATAGTCATGCAGCGACGGCAAAGAAATGTACAAAAAAGCCTGCAGAGTTGTTCTTTTGCCAACGAAAACTTATTGCTTTTTTGTCATTCTTGTTTCATTGCTGTTGTCCTTGACTTAAGCTCCCTATTACAACCCTTTCACTTCCAATAGTAGCCAAACTAATAATTTCCAAAAATTTCAAATTTCTTTTGGTAAAATCCTGAGAAAAAAAAGAGTACCACAAAAATGTTCTGATTTAGTTTATAGAGTGACAACTAATCTTGTCATAACATAGTTTAGGAGTGAGAGGGCGTGTAAATTGATAATTATTGCTAAGAATATTCTCTGTGTCAAGTAGTAATTTATATTAAATCACCACCTGGAGCTCTTCTGCCCCATCATTAGTTTATTCGCCATTTATTCAGGATATTATTATGGAAAAATAGGAAACAGTATCCTAAATAAAAAATGAACTAGCAAGGGAAATGAATGCAAGAACATGTCAATCCTCACCAGAAAGTATGTCCACATTTAGTCATAAAAGCTTCATCGATGGTGTCAAAGCATATCGGACTGTAAAACAAAGACGCAGTTTATGGTAAGGGAGATTCTCGTAACTTAATCACATCAGGCAAAAAAAATGCCTTCACCACAGCTCACAACAAAAGGTTTATCGTAAAATTATTCAATTTGTTTTTGTTAAGAACATTCTTTTCTCGTAGTCTTTCGACAATTTTCAAACAGTCGCTCTACTTACCAAACAAAATCACTGTTCCTGTCGCTAAAAGAATTCATAATTCCGCCATACACAGGAGGATGAGGTCTTTTTCGACGACGACCTCCCCTTGTCTGACCAGCCGAGCTCGAACTTGACGACAGCTGAGCCATTCTGTCTAACTATTTCACGAGAAATGTTCTGGAATGTTTTATCCGAAGAACTGCTCACATACCCAAGGATTCCTTGGGACCAACTGACGCAAAAGAACACAAAAATATTGCATTCATTCTTCACAATAAAATAATTTCACGTTTGAGCTTATCGGGGGTCACGCTATTTCTGCGCATGCGTGTCTAGGACCCCGGGACAGCAATTATTTCTTCATATTTGCTTAACAAGATGTCTCATTAATGGCCTTACCACAAGCATCATCAGAAGTTTCTAGAAAACTTAAATGGAACACGACTTTGTTGAATGTTTCTGTGGGAGATGCCTGAAAAATATGGAATTGGGGATGAAGCTTTAGTTTTTAGCAAAATCTTCAGGGGTGAACAAGGAAAATCACCTTTTCACGAAATTCTTCAGAGGTAAACCCATATTCTTGTGGGGTAAGGGAAAGTTCATTTAATATGACAAGGGGGGGCGGGGATGAAGATATTGAGGGGGGGTTCCGAAAATTTTTAGACACCCGAAGGGGGCTCTGAAAAATTGTTGCGCTAGGAGGGGGGGCTCAAAAAATTTGTATACTTCAAAACCAACACATGACATCATCATACAGATCGGATGGCAACTCAACAATTTAATGACCTGTGCAACTCAGCTATATCACGTGATTTACAGATATAACAAATGTAGTCTCAGTAATTATTACACTCTTGTTCATCCCAAAAATGCTTTAGAAAATTGTATCACAGCTGTATCTCAAGTTTGTCATAGTATAAACCATTGAAGACAATAACGGTAAATATATTTAATACAGTCTAGCGATATTTTTCAGGGGAGCAAAGGAATTGAAGGAGGAGGTGGGGGCTCTGAAATTTTTTCGACTACCAAGGAGGGGGCTCCTAAAAAAATTGAACCGCTAGCGAGGGGGCTGCTAAAATTTCAAGCTTCGAGTTTCAATATCTTCATCCCCCCCCTTCCTTGTCGTATTAAATGAACTTTCCCTAAGACCCATACTTTATGGACGTCTTCAGGGATGAAATTTAATGAAATTCTTCAAAGGTAAGAAGAAAAGGTAAGTCCTCAACCGGGCAGGGGAGGTACGTATATTAAATGCAATAGCCCAATGGAACTGATAATTGTACAAAGTGATAAACTGCCAAAACCTTGAACCGAGCGGTTTGCCCATGTAAATGTAGCCTGTTCCAGGCTCCGAGATAGTGGTGAAAAGTCGTTCAGTAAAAAGAAATGAGAAAAACGCGCAGGAGCTGGGGAGAGACGGGGCGGCGTCTCCCATTTTTCCCGCCGCCACCGCCCCCTTTCCCAAGTCGCGCGCGTCTTATTTTCGCTTTACTCGTTTAATACGTCCCCACTATACTATCTGAGAGCCTGGCACAGGCTAATGTAAATGCAGTTATGCAGGTAAACAACCCCTGCGATGGCTTTGACTATAGCTTTATCGAAACCCATAGTTACTGTAAGCGTCATGCCAGGTTAAAGTTAAGTGCAAAGTTCATATTGGCTTACTCGAAGTTTTAAGAAATCTGAAGGGCGTGCGTGGAAGCTTGCTTTTGGGCCGGGAGGGTGTAGTTTGCGGGTGTGCGGGCGTGAGAGTGAAAAGGTCCTGTAAAACTGCGTGGGGTGATTTTCACGCGCGCTCGCGTTTCGCTCGCTCTACTATCACTGAGGAAAAATGGGGGACTACTCGTAGTCTAGTTTAAACCCAGCGCTTGCTTGTCTGCACAAAATGGCGTTACTAGGAGTGCTTAGGCAGGTTGTGGCACGAGAGAGCACTAGGCGCGAGAACATCGCACGAGAGGAGGGGCGATGGGGGGAAAAGGCTTGTCTCGTACATTGAGCTCGCATACAGTACTAACCTCCATGTGTGACCACCTCCGGCAAGCAAGGGACCACAATCTATCCAAAACACCAAAATTTTCACGGACAAAGCGCTCTGAGTAGAAACTCTCGTAAGCGACGGCGACCACTTTTAGGATGAGGGTTTTTCAGAAACATCGCAAAAATGAGTGGCTGAAGAACGTGCCATTTAACATCATTCCCAGGGTTCTGTTTTTTTTTTTTTAATCAAAACGCGGTTCACTATTACTGACCGGTTCCGGGCCGGGCGTTAATTGGGTACTACTATAAAGGCATGACAAATATTCCCTGAAAGCTTTTAATATAAATATAGTAAATCGGGAAAGAGTGGACCCCAAGGGTTTATAGGAGAGATAGAGGCTCCTGCGTGAACATAATCTGACTAAACGATGAGTGATCACCAATGAAGGGATATGGCAAAGGACAACTATGTTAGTCGCGGATAGTTACTTTGATAAGGGCTTAATAAAATCAATCTTGCCATTCTAGTGGGAAATCCACTATCTTGTCTCCTCACTGCATTCTCTCCTGGCAGGGCTACTAAGACAGTGACCAGCCTCCGGCTTTCATAAAATGAATACAGTATATCGGATTCTTGTATAACCCGAAAATCGTCTTTTAAGACCCCTCCTCCTCTCTAATAAGCTCTCCTTTTTCACTGTCTTCAGGAAAAAGAAAGTTATTAAGCCCCTCCGCCTAACTCTTAAGCCCCCCTCCCCCATTATTTTTTAAATGATACACTTCATGTGGACTGATCCGGTAACCACCGCGGTCAAACGTCTAAATCGTTATTTTTGTTTTTTATTGCTGGGATTTCATTTACCAGTTAGAGAAAAATGGGCAAAGATGTATAAATCAGTTAGTCAACATAACTATCTTTCCATTTTTCTCAAAATTTGAGCTTTTTTCGCTGAAAACGCTTCGCGCTAAAAGAGAATCATGTTTGAAAATGGCGCCGATAATAACGTCAGCATCGGTTTTCAATCAGTTAGAACTTTTTTAGTAAACTTTGAAAAAGTTTAGTAAACTAACAGGATGTTGGTAATACCTTAAACTTTCGATAGTGAAAGTAGCAACTTTAACTTTGAAGTATTTCGCTTAACTTTTGCAAATTTCACTCGATTGACCGCTGTGAAGATTCGGTATGGTTTATTCGTGTGCTGGAAGTTCGGATTTGTTTTTGATCTTCGGCTGCATGCCTTCTACCTTCATGTTCCTGAGCTTTTCTACTTTGCGTTCTTGTTCATTAAGGAGAAGTAATACCATCATCGTTGCTAAATTAAATACCGCCCCAACCCCCCCACCCCCCAACCTCGTAATAGAGGATTTACAGTATTAGAATAAACTGTGTGACTGTCTGGCATTTATCAAGCGCGACTACTTCTTTCCTGCACACCTCGTCCCCAGGGTTCTTATTTTTGTTTCGGCCGTAAAGACAATAACGAGCATAGCCAAACTGAGTTTTTTGCTCGCGCTCGCTAAGAAAGGCGCCTTCGCAGCCATCCCACAAGAGCAGGCGCGCGGTGGACGATGGGAAGAGGGAAAAGGCGGGAGCACTCTCGCCAAGCCTCACGTCCTCTCTTTCCCCTTCCCATCGTTCCCGTCGCGCTTTCATTTCTCCCTCTCAAGTCTCCCCTGAGCTGAGCCGACTAATCATAGAGGGAGCAGTCTGCGCTGTTCCTAATAGCCATCAGCATTTAATTTCTCCTTACTGTAGGACTATTTACTTAATAAATCATAGCGATTGAAAGAATAAATGAATCGATTACAAGCGAGGAAAATGTCTTGAACTTTACACTCACTATTTTCAGCAGTACCACACGAACTGTGCGGAAAACACGGTGGAGAACAGAAGCATCGATAATTCAACTTTCAAAAAAGGATAAGATCGATTTTATGTAATTTCCATCACACATTAGTAATGTCCAAACTTGGGATTCCATATAACTCGGTCTTTCAGACCCTCATGTCCCTATAATATACAGGGAAAGTCTAGAGCAAGACCTCCTGCTAGAAATTCTATGTAAAAGGCATCTACACATAACATATATGCAGAAGTTCTCAAGAATTTTGAGTTTGGGGAAGCTGTAGACTGTACATATTTCCATATTAACAATGAATGCCGGCGTGATCTGTAAGTAGTCTGCTATGAGTCAGATTTCCAGATTTTTATAGTTTTGTCGTTTTCCAGAGCACCAGATGCAATGATGTTTTCTGTTGGATGGCAAGCGGAGCAAAGGACCACATCTGCAATTCAAAACACCAATTTTAACAGAAAAACTAAGTTACCTTTGCGCCGCTCGTAAAATAGAAATACTGTGGATACGCCATCACGAAGATGAGGGTAGGGATTATTTAACCACGTATTAACGACAACAACCATAACAGCGAGTACTAGTCTCTACGAAACTATTATTTGTTGTAAAGGGCAACGCAAGACGGTGGGGGTGGGCACTCGCGCTTTGTTCATGCTCTCGCACTTGCCAAATTCCCCGAAAAAAAGAGTAAAAACGTCTGTGGACAAGCTATTGTGACGACAGTGTATTAGTGGGGGAGTACAGGGGGTTGGGAGAATAAGGAGCGGGAGAAGTACGGGAAGCGGGAAAGGAAAGAGAGAGAAGTGGGAGTTCTGAAGGAGTGGGAAATGAGAGAAATGAGAGGGAGCTTGATACTTCGCTAAAGAAAAAAGGCTAAAAGGAGGTAACCAAGAAATAAGAGCCGGGAGCCGGGAATGCAAGGTACGGGAGGCAGGAGGTTTGGACCTCTGTCCCCCTCCCCTCCCCCTCTAAAAAAAAATCACATACCACTGTGACCCTCTAATGTCTGTGCCACTTCCTTGGATTGCAGGTTCCAAATATACACCATGTTATCTTCTGATCCTGACACTATCCACTGAAAATACAAATAAAGAGGCAAGTTCAAATACAATTTTCTACGGATAACGTAAAACAAAGGTTAGTTTTTTGTCAGTCCAGATTTCGGTGATTTGTCAACCGTTCTTTGAAACTGAACTTGTGCATATGAATTCAATATTATTGAGGAGGCTACATGGCATAGGTCAGCGTGTCAGACATATTTTTATGTTTTATTAGCAGAACACTTTAGGGAATTTACATACAAATGAAAAACAACAAACAATCCAGAGGTTCTGGGTTCAAGTCCCATTCTGTAAACTGGCTGCGGTTGTTCTGGGAAGTCCAGAGTTCATACCTCGTGCACATTTGGAAATAACCAACTGGTTTCTATTCTGCCAATTGGGATTTTTAACTTTTTCGGTCCAATTCGATCAAACGTTGTCTAAGAATAGAATGACACCCTTATCAGGCAGTCACAACTGGGACCCTTACTGGAGTAATAGAGGCATTCACTGAATGCAAACAACATTTCATGATTTTCCTACATCTTTCCTTCCATTGCCAGTCTGAACTCTACAAATACACATTTCATGCAAAATGCACTGCAAACCTGTAATGCAAACCTTTTGCGTTATCCTGTGCTACAATGAACTCCTGTCAAATGAAAAGGTTGGGTTTTTTGTAATTACAGGAGTTGATGACTTTTTAGGGGGTGATAACATGTCAATATCTGGCCAGGGTACAACTGAGTAAAGTAATGGTTACCTTGCCTCCTGTGACTGAGAAATTGGCAAATATACAGTACTTTTCATTCTTGTGACCAGTATAAGTTTTCAGACACTTTCCTTTGCTATAGTCCCATAGTTTCAAGGTGCTGCAAATACCAGTAACAGTACACTCATAAATACTGAGCATGTAACAACATAAGTTATAACACAGGGCCACATTATCATCCTTTTGATGCATATTCTTTGAAGACATATTTTTGTTGAAAGCATGACCTCACTTTTCTTCAGTTTGTCATCTTCATCCCTGTTATGAGTTGGGGAAGCACAAAAAGGGTGAATTGTGAGGGAACGGCCTGTTAATGAACAAGCCTCAACAATTTGATACTGACACTAGTTCTGCATCCTTCTTCACAACAAGCAGTTTCTTTCGCTCAAAGAAAATGACAGTGAGTATGGACAACAAAAATGAAGAAGAACCTACTTATCTAATGTTGCTGCTAGTATGTACTTTCCATTGGGAGAAAACTTTACAAATGACACAGGAGGATTATCATCATCTGGAAGGGAAGACATGAACAATCCAGTCATTACCCCTAATGACTTCTGGTTACAGGAGGGCAGGGGTGGATCCAGGATTTTTTTTAGGAGGGGGTGCACTCGTCTCTTGCTCTACTTCAACACCAATAAACCACATAGTTTTTTTTTTTTTTCACAGAATACCAGTTGTATTAGAAAACCGCAGGTCACCTCAGGGGGGGTGCGCACCCCCTGCACCCCCCCTAGATCCGCCCCTGGAGGGCAGTATTAAATAAGACTGAGGACAACAAACCACAGGAAAAGACTACATCTCTAACTCTAACTTTCATACATTAAATTCACACACTAAAACCTAAGAATGCCCCTCATACGCTTCCTTTTACCTGTCATATCCCTGCTTTTGCGTTTTTAGCATTGTCAACCTTGTGTCCTCGTGCTGGGGCAGATTTTTTAGAAAAGTATAAAAACTGGACGTCTGAACCACTAATATTATTCTAGTCTGGTCAAACTTTATTATTGTTGTTCATTGTGAATAATACATTTCAACAATACACACACATGTAGGTTGTAGACTGAGGACCACTTATGACTATTCAAGCCACTTTAATATTCAGCCAGTCTTAGTTAACAGACATGACCTCAATAATAATTAAAACAGCACAAAACTGACCTATTAATGTCTTGAGGCATTGCCCAGAGGCAGTATCCCAAATACGACTATGGAAAAAAATGAACAAGAAGACATCATAAATAGAGACACACATAAAGATCTCCAACTACAGGTAATTAAGGCCAATGCTCACATAAAACAGCGATCTATTTTCTAATACTTTTACAATACAAAAGAAGAAACTAAACACACTTGTCCATGTGGAGTGCAAGGCTCTTTACCCCCACATCATCCACTTCAAGCTCATGCTCGTTTCACTTATTATTTGTCTCATACACTCTTCCTTTCAGTTTCCAAGTGAAGAAATAGGCCATTCAATAAACGTCTAGTGAGCTTATTATACCCTTTAAAGAGCAAGTTTGGAATTTTATATCATAGTTTACATACTGAATATTACATCTTTAGGGAGAGGGTCAGGCTTGTACGAGGACTCAGTTCCTCTCTGTAACACCCTTTTTGCACCCATCTTTCTTTTTTGCCTTGGATCTATTTTTATGCAAATAAAGTTGTCATCAATACAGGAAGAAAGAAATAAGTCTACAGTAGTCATAGCAGAGCATGAAATACAGGTAAAAAGAAAACAAGTTGAAAACAATAACCACGGCACTTGAGATGGCCCGTCCAGTTGTCCCAGTCAAGTACCAAAGGTTTTCTTTGGTACATAACATTTTGAGCTTTCTTGCCCAGTGAGCAGAGTTTGACTGCATGAGTGAAACTTACCAAAGGCCATCATAACTACTTGACACTATCAAGGCACCATCTCTATTGAAATGAACCTGTTGTGAGATACAACACAGCAGGCATTGTTAAACCTACTACTGTATTTTCTTGACTAAATAATGGTGCCGAGAAGGTCTCAGAAACCTGTACTTTTATTGGCCTTAAAAACACACCTGAGATGTGGGTTTATTCCCACTATTTCACATTACAACACGGAGCATTCATTACTAATGATGGCTGTGCGACACGGTCAAAAGCTACAATACCAACAGACTCGAGACCATTCAAGTCTGGAATCTATTTTTCAAATTCAATTCCAAGGTGAGCATTCATGGAATTACACCTGCTTTGGTTTTTAGGACAAGAGACATTGAATCTGTTGTTTTGTTGGCTAATTAATCAACTTGTTCTGAGAGAGTATTAGAAACAAAGGAAAAGGATAGGTCAGACGGCCCTTAAAATTAATGATACTATTGTCTTACCGCTGTTACAGGATCTGAATGAGCTGGCAGAGTCTTTAAGCATTTCCCTGTCTTAACATCCCAAATGCGCACACTCTCATCAAACTACAAAGAGAATAAAAACATCAAGGCTGGCAAAATCCTCCTCATTACAGTGTAGTTGGACATTGTTTTACTTCAGTACAACACCATGCAGTGGAGCATTACCAGGAGGATATAAAATTAGTATGCCTTACTTTTTTGCTGTTTTTCAACAAATACAAATTTTGAAAAAAAAAGAATTATAATTGACAGCAAATGAGAGCAAAAATACCCTTAGTTTTTTAAACAATATGGAAAGCAAACTGTAGCTTTGCTGCGTTAAAGTGGCATCAAAGTGCATTGTTTAATCTACACAAATGCCACGAGCTGGTTGGTTAACCTACTACAAGTTTAATAATTAAATCATCAATGGTCACTAAGTTCTGTTTGTTGCCTGTTTAAGACGTTGGGACATACTGAAGACTACAACAATACTCACCGAGCCTGACACAATGAGGTTAGATTGAGGATTAAAGTTGCAACAAAATACATAATTGCTATGACCTTTCAGAGTCTTGAGACATTTTCCCTATGATCAAATAACAAAGAAGGCACAGATAAAATTAATAATAATGACATCTGAAGAAAATCACAGGAGAAAATCTATTGGTCAAATGTTATAGAGCAAAAAGATGAGTGACAAGTCACACATGAGTTATCTTTGTTTTTCACAGAAGCTATACTTATATCATAGTCCTATCGACTCACTGCCCAATATGTACATATGGTACAGGTCAAAATTATATGTTCAGGTTAAATTTTTTTAATCTAGGTTGATTCTGAATAACGGCTTGGAGACAAAGGAAATTGAGAATCAACCTAATTGTAGGTTTAAAAAACTTCAACCTAAATTTAATTTTGACTTGTTACGCATATACACTATACATTAGGACTGTGGTACTTGAGAGACAAAGTACATTAAGACTGTGGTACTAAAGAAACAAAAACCTTGTGACAGAAAAAACAAAAGCCAGATATTTGTGGTACTGTCAATAAGGGAACAAACTGGAAGCGCACAGGCATTTGGGTACTGAATTTGTTTCTTCCTTTGCATATACGGCCTTAATTAACTAAAGTTAAGTTGTGTTTGAACAAAAAATATAATTATTAGGCCATAACCAGCCCAAAGTTGACTAAAAGGAGAGGTATTCCTCCTTCAACTTACAGTAGCAAAATCCCAGATTTTAAGGGTTTTATCATCCGATGCTGAAACAAGCAGCTTGGAATCTGATGACCAAGATACATCTGATATTCCCTGACAACAAAAAAAGCAAAGTTGATCTTAAAACTGTTTCTTCTCCCAAGTGTCATTTATTTCAATGAATATCATTCCTTCCTAACTCAAACACCATGATTTTAAGCAAGCACCCACTGTTTAAAGTATTTTATATGCAATAATGTAATACTTTTATTAATAACCATCTAACTGTAAACAACACAAAGTAATGTAACACTCTGCAGCAGAAGTCAAGAGTACAAGTTCACATGGGTCATTCCAGTTTCATTGTGGAAGGCCTTTTGGAGTTTTGTTGGCCATCTTGTGCTATTTTTCTTGAGAGTTGTGTCACAAATGTACCTGTACCTAACAGCACAACTGGAAAGTGTAGGCTGCATTTATTTGCAAGGAACTGAATCTGCATACTAGAAACTGAAACCAAATTTCAGATTCAAGAGCCGCAATCTGGATCCAGATACTTCAGTATCACTGAGTGTGGTTCACAAAAGTAAATTTACCATCACATTATTCATTTAAATTTATAAGTAGTTGTGCATACCACAAGACACTGGCTCTCCAATCCAACACTTGTTCCAAGAATGTCACACTTTATTAATATTTGAGGATTTTGTGACTAAGGAAGTATATGACTGTCCACAAACATGAAGGCATAAATTAAAATTAATTATAAAAAAACACGCCATACCAATTTGTGCCCTGATATAGTCTTCTCAAACTTCCCATCATAAGCTCCCCATATTTTTATGTACTTGTCAGCAGCTGTTTAGGAAAAAAAAGAGTCGCTAAGGAATTTGCAAGTTTTTAATCAATGTCTAATGAGAATAAATAATAAATGCAGTAATGACAGAGAAGTCTAGTTACATTGTCTAACTTTTTGGGTCTACACATGAAATGCTATGAACAAGCAGTTCAATAGAATACCACTTGATTACAAATTCAAAGGGCAAAACTTGTAAAGAAAAGACTCTTATATCACCCCACAGTATCCTTAGCTTTGCACAAAGCAATTATTTGCTATAAAATCTCCCAACACAAGTCAATCACTAACAACATACATTGTACACATAGTCAGCAGAAAAAATCTCTCATTATTAAGCAAGTCAAGTTTTTACATAAAATTTTATAAAGTGCAATAAGAATTGGAAATGTACTGACATAGGTTTTATAATTATTAAATACCACTTGTGAAACAAAGAAATCAGTGCCTAATTAAGAATACTAGAATTACCAAAATCACAAGTAACTTACAAGAGCTTGCCAGCCAGTCACCATTTGGACTAAACTTCACGGAGGAAATAGCTTTTGTATGACCAGCTAATGTATACTTCAGTATGTAGTTTGGCTTCTAAATACAGAAGAGGAAACACTGATTAGCTACTTGCCTTTAATGCTTACAAACTGAAGGTGTATTACCCAGGGGAGAATCCAGGATTTTTTTTTAGGAGGCGGTGCACTCGTCTCTTGCTCTACTTCAACACCAATAAACCACATAGTTTTTTTTTTTGGCGGAATACCAGTTGTATTAGAAAACCGCAGGTCATCTCAGGGGGGGGGTGCACCCCCTGCACCCTCCCCCTAGATCTGCCCCTGTTACCTGTTTAGAAAAAGGCACGAAGTAAGTGATTCTTTTAGGATGCGTTTGATTAAGCATATTACCAGAGTAGGAATACCTCCAAATTTTGTTACAGATCTGTTGTACTGTGATTTTTGGACCACTTAAATGCTACATACATCAACATATTTTATACTACTTATAGCTATTGCTAAGTGCCAATGAGCAAGATTTTACCTAAATGCAAGTGCTGTTCAGTTTGTTTAGAAATGTCATGAATTACCATAATTTACAAGAATGCAGATTGCAGGTCAGTCATGTGTCCATCATTTATCATTTACATTGCTTCGAGATTCATTCTGCCTTGGAACTTTCACGCATGATTGTATTCACTCAAGAACAATGAATTCTCTGTTCTGCATTAGATCATAAAAGCTACCTTACACTACCTTATGTTACATTGCTTCGAGATTCATTCGGCCTATTTTTGGCTACTCTGTAATTTGAGATAAAACAATTTAGTTTTATGTATGTATGTATGTATGAAACTTTTGCGCACAGCTTTATTATGCTGCTGCATCGCAGCCTCGCATCTTCGTGAGGCTTGTTGGCAATCAAGCAGATTTATAGACACTGCAATGCAATGAATGCTAAAACAACTGATTCCTAGAGTTTATTGCATTTATTCTTATTCCAGAATACTGTCAATTGAACACAACCTAAATGGTTTGTTTTCACTCAAATGGTCAGTGCTATACAAATCTGCTGGAAAAAAGTTTTACAAGAGAAAAGAGTTCAATCTCCACAGGACTTTTTCTGTACACCAACATGGCTGGCATTCCAGCATTTTGTACAACAATATGGCTACTGTGATATCATGTGAAAACCATCTACACCTTTCCTTTAATAACAAATATTGGATGAGACTTTTGTGAGACTTTAATTATTCCAAGACCTTGATTTACAAAATTCTGGTCACTAGTTCTAGAACAATACTTTGAAAGCAACCATGTGACTGTTCTGAACACAAGACATTTTAAAACACAGAAAAAACAACTTTATCTGCGTTGGCAGGATATATATATTTTTGAAATTTTCATATATGCGGCTTTTCAAACATTTTACCCTGTTGGCAAAAGCTATTAAATACAAATAACAAATAGCTTTATCTGTATGGATATATACACCCAACTGCAAAAACGTTGTCATAGAAAAAATGAAAAAAAGGGAAAAAGCCAAATAGGAATTAAATAGGCTAATGAATTCATCCAAATTAGGTAAGTAAGTAACTAATCAGTAGCATCAATAATGACATCAATGAAATCAATGAGAAATCAACAGGTAATCGATGGGTAATCAGTTGATTAGTCATTGATTATATCCGATATTCAATGAGTAATCGATGAATAATCGATAGGTCACAAAATTTTCTGTCATTGATTACTCATTGATCAGTTATCAATATAATCTTGTGGGTACACAAACCATACCAATTCAAAAATAAGGAAACAAAGACTTCTTTAACATAAATGTCCGATACAAGCTTTATTTAATCATGATTACTTAACAACAACGGCATTTGAAGGCCCTGAAGTATCTTCAGAAGAGCTACATGCAAATTCTCCATAAGGGTATCACTGGTTTTCATTACATAAGACTTAAAAAATTCAATTCCTATTTACATTTGGCTAGAATAATTACTATCAGTCTATAGAAAGTGCGTTGTTTAGAAAATGATCAAGAACCATTAACGTTTAAATTTTTTTATCACCAGAAAGTTAAGCTATATATTTTAAGAATAAAAAAATTGCTAGAATGGTATGAGATGCATAATCAATGTCTAACCAATGGATAATCATTAGATCATCGTTATTTTGAGTCAAAATCACATCCATTTTCGGCTCATAAGTTTCGAATAGCATTGCATGACATTTTCTCACTTTCACATCAACAAGCTGGAAAATTGTTAGTCATGGATTACGAAAAAGGCTCTTGAATTGAAACCAATCCATCGATGTCTTAAAAGTAAATCGATAGGCCACAAAACTTTTAGCTATTGATTAGTCATCGAGCGAAAATACCGAGCCCTCGCGTGTTTTTTGATTACTATCTTGGAGCCGGAAATAATCAGTGACTAACCAATTGATTATCCAACGAGTACTCATCGATTACTCATTGATGTCATTCATCATTGATTAGTTATGTCTGGATTCATTTGCAGCATTTGCACATGGATGTCGTATTTGCCTGTGGGAATTTGCTATTGTTTTAAAGCTGGAAAACAATATAAAAATTCCAGTGGGGAAATGCAACGGCTGTAAATGAATCCACCCTGACAATGTGGCATAATTGGCGTTATTAATTCCTATTTGGCTTTTTCCTTTTTCCCTTTTTTTTTAGACACTGTATTGCAATAACGTGTATTGAGGGGCCCAGTAAAAGGTAAACTCAAAATCCTTCGAAATCTTTCAACATACCAATCTGAGGATTCATGCACATATCTGGCGATAAATCACTACAGAGGAAGCCGCCAATAAATCCAATACATTTACTATAAAATTACAAACAGTTACACAAACGGATTGTATGGGTGCCCTGTGTACGTACCAAAACCTACGCAATGTAAATAGATTTTTGAAGGTTCACTACACCGGGTAGCAACTATCATTCCCTACTAGTAAAGTCCGCATTCCGTGTATCATTACTAGCTAATAATAAGCAGAATGTAGACTCCCTAAGTCAGCGGGGAACAACTTTCATGTTAGTAGTAGCTTGTCGGTCTTGTCGAACAGCCAACAATCATTTCAATTCAATTAATGTGGCAGCCTTCTCGCCCACTGATCTTCAACAATGCTTCGATTGCAAGCACAAATTGCAAGTCTTCAAACAAGAAAGTGTGCTGTAGGATAATCATTTCTCTTACCTTTGATGATCCCGTGTTATTGCTTGGATTTGTGACTACTTGCTGTGTAGGCTTCGAAGTTTCGGAAGAATTATTACTAGGCTGAACGGACGAACTTTCATTTTTCACTGCTTCTTCTGATGAAGCCATATGTATCTTGATGCTCTCAAGATAATGCACCTTCCTTATGAATTTCGTTCCCCTGCTAAAACTTCGAAGACGATCCGGTTTTCTCAAAGAACAACAAATCTGCCAAATAAAAAGAAGTGTAAACCACACGTGAGGCAACGCGACTCCACATTCCCCGCAAAGAACTCTGGGAAAATGCTTTCGCTAGGTCCGCAATGCGTACAGTATCGTTCCAAGGAGTGAGATTTTTACGGAATTTCCCGTGAAAATTTTCTGACATGACAAGCTATTTTTTTCTTTTTTCTTTGTGTTTCTGGGACCATAAAGGAATTGAGTACAAAACTCGTTACTTAGTGCGTTTACTCATGCACAGAACGAAGGTCTAGGTGTTTGCAGGGCAAGTCCCCTTCATTTCTTTGCGGGAGCTAGCCTCCCACGCAGGTGTTTTTAGGGGAGCTCGTATTTCATCCCTCCCTTCTCAACCAAGAACAACATTCCCTTCCCATTGTTTTATTCGCGTGGTAAGTGACCAATCAACAGTTTTGAAATAAAGTGTTGACAAGCTAAACACGACTCATAAGCTGGTGGTAGTGTAAAAACGTGACCCTAGAGTTACCTTTTTCCTTCTTTTCTTTCCTTCGCTAAGGTTATTCAGTACAAGGAGTATTCTAAAATCTGACTAAATCTTACTTTTGACGCCCTGAGTCTAACATTTATTAGAGGTCATAAAGCTTTCCCAGGGTTTTATGCAGATCGCGTAATTATCGGGTTACTCTGCGGACAGGGTCAACCTTCCAGAATTTGAATGGTACGTTCTCCGTTGAGCAGGCGTTTGTGGGGAGGGACGAAATGCGAGCTCCGCTAAAAACGTGGCTTGGAGGCTAAGCAGGAGCCTGTTTCTCAGTTATATTAGGACCCTGAGTATTGCTCAGGCTCCGTAAAGTCGAACCCACGAACTCCTGCTCTGCAGTCAAGCACTCTACTGAGAGCGAATCGAGCGGCGGAAAACTATTCAACATGAAATGGCCCATTTTTTCTGATCCATACTGAATCCTTGCTAACCGTGCAAAAAAACCTGAAAAATGACTGAACTAATGTATGATACTAATTAAGCCCGGGGGGGGGGGACTCCCATATGAAACAGACGGGGATGCTCGTCGGAAACTTTGAATTTAATCCCTAAAGGAGACCATCTGGGCGTGGCTCAAGCTTTTTGTGACCCCTAAAGGAGACCAATCTGGGCGTGGCTTAAGCAAATTTTGACCCCTAAAAGAGACCGCTTAAAAACACACAAATACGACATGCAATCAGTTTTAATGATATAAAGACATAACAAACAAAGTTAAAAAGAAAATTGACCTCTGTTTCTCTTCGCGTAATTCTGTGTTTCTTCGCGGAACCCTAAACGAGACCTTGGCGGCTTAAAATATTGGCGCTTTGCCCGGAACACCCTAAGCGAGACCAAAATCCAAAATTTACACCCCTAAGCGAGACGACGAGCATCCCCATCTGTTTCATATGGGAGTCCCCCCCTCGGGTAATTAAGGTACGTTGGAACATTTTAAAACGATAGCAAATAGCGTGACGAGGCCTCTTTTGAACTAGCTTACGTAGCAAGCGTTTCCAGTCGAGTTAAGCGCGAAAGTTAGAGCCGGAGCATTTCTTTTTTTTTTTTTTTGCTCTCGTCCCAACTTTCTCGACGAACTCGCGCGGAAACGCTTGCTATGCAGGCTACTTTTGAACCCACTGTTGCACCCAGGTGTGAAAGATCGCTTTTCGTTAGAAGGAAAGCCAAATCATTTAGGAGCTCAAATTATCGGCCCCTGGTAGAAACTGAAAGAATCAAACACGAAAATTAAATCTCTAATTCCTGCCCAGCCCCCTTTGAGTTTCAGTCTTTCCAGGTGCATTCTGGGTAATGCTACAAAAGCAGATGTTTCCCACAATCTATCACATGAAACTTGGCTAAGACAGAAACGGCAGATTTATTCCATCACTGCGGCTGTGCTACCAACAGTGTACGATAAGCTGACTGTTTTCTTTAAACACACCGTAATTTGGATTTCCCCATAGACTGATATCAACATAATGCCGTTGAATGGAGGTGGAACGAAATTTGTCATTTGTGCCAAGTGTGGACGATCGCTTCACTGAACCGTTGGAAAATAGCACTTTTCTGGAGTAGTCTGGGATATTTCAGAAACACTTGTAGTTTTCTTCTCTTGTCTTGGACACTGCTGTAGTTGCGTAACATTCTCGAAAAAATATCTGCGTATACTGTGAGTAGGCGAATTTCCACCTCGCCCAGCTGGCCAGCCTTTAAACACAACATCCGGCCTGTCGAAAACTTTACTGCTGTTGTGTCTTAATTCACGCAAGAAAAATTTCTTTTGTCTGGTGTTGACACTTTAAGCGACACTGGATAAACTACTGGTACTCACAACTTTATGGCCCGTGTAAACAAGGAGAAATCCTTCGGAAAAACTTGAGTTCATTGATCTACAATTTTTTGCGTGTGAATCGAAGTGGAGGAAAGTACAGTAAGCTCAAGACCACTCTTGTCCGTAACAAGTATAAAGGAACGTGATTGCACCCAGGCTTCAATTTGCAAGAAATTTGGGCATCTCAAGAAAGTAGATGTGAACACTGTTTTGGTGCTTGAAAGAACTGAATCGTACATACTTGGTTCATCTGTTGCAAGGCTACGCAACACGCTCATGTTGCCGAAAGCTCAATATCACAACTTTTGTACAACTGTTTTACTGTGTGGTTACGTTCATGTTTTTGGTGGATAAATATTGTTGGAATGACAGATAGTCAGGCATGTTGCACTGTGCAACCAATTCCATCATCCCCCAATTCAAACCCATTTAAATATTGTCAAGTTAACACACATCTAATGCCAGAAAACAACAATCCAAATCAAGAAAATCACCTCCTTGTGAATGGAGAAACCTGCCATATGGATACAAACTGTGAAATGATGGAAAGTGAAATGCAGCGTGGATCAAGACATTTAAGGAAAAATTTAAGACTTAATCTTGCCGAGACACATACTGACAATAGTCTTCCACCACCAAAGAGTTCCTGGCTTTTACGACTCTTTGAATCCAAGCTCTTTGATATGTCCATTGCAATTGCATATTTATTTCATTCTAAGGAACCTGGGGTACTGACTTATCTTGGAAACAAACTCTTTGTAAGTATGATTTTATCTTGGGTTTCGCAATGCCCATTTGGGTGGTTTTTGGACCTCTCGCATGTGATTTGTCTTGCCTGGTGTTACAAAACACCTTAGACCCATCTTAGTTTTGTGCCAAATATCCCTTCATCCTATATTCACATGGCTTGAAAATTAGCCCTCCATTCCACTTCCCCTCTATCTCTAACTCTTTTTACTGGTTGATCCAGTTGTTTCTGGTTAAGGCGGTGAGGATGTGCTGATTAAATTCATAATATTCAGGCCATTCAATTTTGGGTAGCAGCTGTAAAAATAACCTCAGGCAAAACTCCTGTATTTCTTTGTTTTGGGGTGTGGTACTCTATTATAATGGGTTTGATATGATTTACACCGAGGATAAAATTGAACCTCAACATACACAAGCCATAAGTTATTAATGAGTTACAGCTTTAGCTGATTTTTGTAAGGTTAAAGGGCTAAGAATTTTGTTTTGAATAAACCTTTATCACGCGGCGGCCATTTTGTCTCAGGAGATTTATAAAGCTTTGTTTATGCACAGCTAGCCTCGTAGAGAGAACAAGGCTAGCCGTGCATAAACAAAGCTTTATAAATCTCCCGAGACAAAATGGCCACTGCATGACAAAGGTCTATTGTCTTTTCTTTGATAGAGTTTTGATGATGAAGATGTCAACTTCTATATACCACAGCTAATGTAAGTGTTCTTGTGTTAGTTAGCATTACTGATAATTGGGCTGATGGATTTGATGAATAAGCCCCCTTTTCCTCTCCAGATAAGATTTTAGGTTGCATGTTGATTTTTTTACAAAATTGTTGTTTCCACAGTTGTGATAGTAGACCTTTCCATCACTATGAACAAAGGCACCAACCCAAAGCTTGTTGGACAAAATACTTTTTTACAGTGACTTGCATGAAATTGTTCACCCGAGCCTCAACCTCATTTCTTTGTGTTTGTTCATTTGAGTGGAATGCGGGAAAGGTTTACAAGGTTGTACATGGACAAGGCTGTGCTCTAGCAGAGCCTTGTGGCCCTTGGCACCCAACTTTTGCACTCGGGCAGCAAGAAAATCTTTTTTTTTTTTCAAACAAATCACATGCTGGGCAACGTAGATTTTACAGGTTTAGAGCACTGGGCTCCCTTCAATTTCCTTATAGAACTGCTTTGGTGGATACTTTTCAGACTGTGTACTTGAGATGCACATTATTTTATATCTCTGGGTTATTCTTGGAGACCTAGCGGCAGCCATCATGGGCAAAATCATTGCAGTCTGTTAAAACCAAAATCAAATCCAAAACAAATCCCTGGACCAAAATTTACCCCCCCAAAAATCCCCTGCCAAATTACCCAGCCAGAGGAATTTTCAGAAAGCATTAAATGATATATCATGAAAAATAGAGACATTAGTTTTGAATACCCAAAAAAATCCCTACTTAAATCAAGCTACCCAAAACAATGCTTGCCAAACTTTTCCTACCCCAAAAAATCCAGAAATCGAAAATTTCAAACCCAAGAAAATCCTTCCATCATCCATTTTACTTGACATCCGGAGGACCCCCGGCTGGGTAAGCATTACTCCTACAAAAACGGTAAGTTAACATAACTGTTTATCTACTGTAGTTAATTTTAATCCAATGAAAAATGCTATGGATTTTGCCATTTTTCAGTAACATGTACATCCATATTGACGAAGTGTCAGAGGCTCTTCATAGATACTTGGTGGAGAAGTGCAAGAAGAACTTTTCATTTGCTCTACAGGTATGTATGGCCGCATCATATTTTTCAGCATGTGTGTGTACTGCTGCTAAACCTCTTCACATCAGTTTTTTTTTCCTGGTGAGCCTTCAATGTAGCAAGAAAGCACAATATTCCTTACAGAGAGGAAAATCCATTGTTTTGAGGGATGTAAGACCAGGGTTGTCACTAAGATTTTAAGTTGCCGCGTAAATACAAGAAGTAGGCGGGGAATCAAATGGCTAGGGATTTGTTTTGGTTCTATTTTTCTACTATTTTCCAATAAAAGTAGCCGGGGGCCACTCTCTTAGTAGCCAGGGAAAATCCCCAGCCCCCGGCTCTTAATGACAACCCTGTAAGACCATGTACATTTGGTTGGTTAGTGAACTCCCTGAATGAGCCGAAAACTGTATGTGGAAGCCCTTCCTTATCATTCACAGATTGATGGTGAATGTTAAGGTTTCTTGCCAGGAAACAGCTCTGCAAAACTCTTTTTCTTTTTTCCTGGACGATAAAAGAATAATAAACCAGTGATAGTTTACAAGAGTGAACAAAGAGTGCATTAATGCTAAAATGTTAGCCTCATCAGTCAAAGAACGTTTTGTTTTAATTTATGGTTGAATTTTTATGAATCAGTGAGTTAAGTTGCTATACGCTTAATTTAAGGGTAAATTAAACCTTTCTGTGCTCTTTTATATTTTTCCACCATAATAATAACAAATTATTGCTAGATCTGTCATGCTCAAAACAAGTTCCATTATAGTAGTTCTCAATGCCAGTAATATCTTTCAGTTCCAGTGCTTAATTCTGCTTTGAAACGTGTAGTTCTAAACTACAGTATCAAAATAACATGTGGTTGGGTCCCTGTGCAGTCATCTTTCAGCACTTTCTTAACCCATTTACACCTGGAAATTTTGCCAAAAAAAACCCTTTGAAGCTAGTCAAGCTGTTTTCTGGTCACTATCTGGCCAAAACAAACCAAACTGCCCAAAAGGTTGTTATTGGAATTTGCAGGTTAACTTTTCTTTGTTTTGGTTTTTGTGTTTTTGTTTTTTGTTTTTTTTGCATTTTTCTAAAGCCTGATTGACTGAATCGTACTCATTCAGGCATGGTGGATCCCCACAGGGTGGTAATAGGCAGTTCTGGGGTCAATAGGTTTAATGAGTAATGCAAAAATGTAATAAAGGAGAGGCCTTAGTAAATTAGTGGAATCTTGAGCAGCACATCATCCAAAGCTGTACAATTTCCCGACAGGCTTCATGGTTGTTAGAAGCATACTGTGCAGATGGATGGCTTCCTTCAAAAGAGCATGCCAGAGGAATAAAGCTCCTGCAGTTGATTTTGGAGGAATGCAGGCCAAGGTATTATTACTGTATGCAATGATGATGACCTAGGAGTTAACCCTTTAAGCCCCAATATCCACATACAAATTCTCCAAACTGATCTCCATACATTTACTGGAGGAATAAGTTGGGAGAATTTGAAAAAAGATCAGAACATTTTCTCTTTGATGATCAATCATTCTGTAACTTCTTGTAACCAGTTCTCTTGATGATTTTTTGGGATAATGTTACATAATGTTGTTCATTCTTGGGACTCAAAAATGCAAATACTGCCGAGGGTAAATAACGGAATTATTATTATTATTATTACTCAAAGGGTTGGTTAATCTTGAAATCACTGTAGGGTTAGTCTAGAGTGTAGCATTGCTTGATTTCTGTGATTTGTAACATAATGCCACACAAAGTTCAAGTAAGCACGGCAATTGAGGGGTGTATTTAACCTGAAATAGAAATTTTATTTTGATTTTGTAAATCACAGCAAATACCATCAGTTTTGTAAACTTAAGTGGGAAACAAGGATGTGTGATTCTGTTTCTCAAGGTTGAAAAGAATGATTGTTACTGAAAAGTTTGACAATTTTTTACTGGTTACTTTTGATGAAAGTGGCAAAACTATAATATTCTTAGCTTCAAAGAAACTTACCACGGGACTTTTGAATATGCAAAACAGAAATCTTGCATTCTTTGGGCTGCCATAGAATTTTCCTAAATTAATATATTAACTGTTAACAGGTCTCCTTTAAGTCCTTCTGGAGTTGCTGGATCACATTCTTCACCTTCACCTGCATCTTCAGCTGGGTCAGGTGCAACACTTACCACCCCTACAAAGAAAACCCACCAGCGATCCAAGTCAGATGCCACTGCAGCTATTACAGCTTCTAGCCGTCTAATGCAAGTATGTAACACAGAAATAGTATACCATAATCTCTCTGTATATGACCCTGAGTGGAGCATATTTTTGCAGCATATTTTAAGCCTTTCGTTCCTAATAGCTTGAGCAAGATTCACAAAAATTCTAAAGAGTTTACAATTGAATGGTAGCATAGGATTTAAAGTAGTGAGCTTAAACAACAATGATGGCAGCAGCAGTGAAAATGCCACTAGCTAAAAAATTAATTTGCATCCTGGGCGACTTTACCAGGAGTTGAATTCTTAAAGACTTAATTATACAGGTTCAAAAAGAGAAAGGAAAATTTGTTGTTGTATGTTGACGTCTCATCGTCCCATTAGGAGGTTTCATGTCGTAGTCATGCTATGGACATTAAAGGAATCTACTAAAAAGCATGATGCACATGCAGAGCTGTGCTTTTACTCATAAAACCAATATTGTTTTTTTTATGTTGTCATTGTCTTCGTCATCATGGTTGCTTAAGCTCCCTAGTGACAAAATACCTTGCTCTAGGGGTAGAAGGGTTAAGTGGGGGGCTTATGGATCAGTGGATCAGCTTATTTAAAAGTGGATTGGAAACATTTATCAGTTCATTGTTATATTAGCAGTATTTATACGTACTTGCTGTATGCATCCATCAGCAAAAGTTCTTAAATTATAAGAGGCACATTTAAACAAAATGGAATGGTGTAAAAATTGTCTTTATACTCATAGCAGTTTTGGTATGTTTCCAAGTGAAACAAAACTGAATTAGTTTTGCAGATGTCAGTTAAAATAAGTACATAACGTGAATGTGCATTGTCTTCTTAACATTTTTCTTACACTGCATAATGAAAGATAAAGGTCATCATAACAGAAGAGTACAATAAGTATAATGGGTGTTGACAATTTTTGTTTAGAACTGCTGGCATCAGAGCTGAGAATCATTTAGGAATTATTTTTTGGCGAAGAGAGCTTCTCTTATGTTAAAGTAATTCTTTTCTGAGTACAGTCAACTCCCTTTATAGCTACACTGTAGGGACCTTGTGTTAGTGTCCTCATTAATTAGCAAGAGTCCTTAATAGCAGGAGTTTAGTTCAATCAAATATCTCTAATATATTTTTGCACAGGATTTAGCTGCTGTCTATATTTTCGGAGTGTCCAGAAGACAAGAGTTGACTGTACAGGGACTGTTCAGATTACAAAATCCCCCAAAATAGGTCAATCTACATGACGTCTCTCTCGGCCACAATGTATCTGTGGTGTTATGCAAAAGTATTCAAGCATAATCTATCACAAAACGAAGAACCCTTTCAAGGTGAAGATTTGTAAAAACATGGGTTTTCACCTGCTCTAACACATTGTGAGCGTAGAAACTCAGGAGGATCAATAATTTCCAATTCAAGAATAGGGCATGCATAGTTTGATTAATTTCATCAGTTCTATTTTTCTATTTCAGTCAAATGAGTGTGAATCCCCTGGAAATGGTGACCTGAGGTATGGCCATGCCTTTGACAGTCGCTGTTCTAAGCATTCCCCTGTGGTGTCTCCAAATGCCTCCAGTCCTGCACTGACTGAGTTAGCACGAACTCCAGACTGTAGCTGCCAGGTATATACTATAATATACTTACATTTTATTGTAGGTTTAATTTATTGAAAGACTTGTTATGAATTATGTATTGTACAAGTTTATCAGTACATAAGGCCCAGTTCAAACATTGCATTTTACATATGCAGAATCTAATGCAAATGAGCAAGAAAAATAGATTTTCCTCATTAGCATTAAATTTGGCCCTTGTGGATCAGGGAATACACTTTTGAGCCAGGCCTAAGAAAGCTTGAAAGACAAAGACTTCTTGTTTATAGAGCATAGAAGAACATAGAACAGCAAATTAGAATTTTTGAAAGCAGGAGAGAGAGTCTATTATAGCAAAGCTGACGCCAGTTGTGGAAATTGCTCACAATTTAGGCATCCTACTGATGAACAGTTGCTGCTTTTAGACATTGATGATGGCGGGGCAGCAGTTGTTAATGGTCTCTCCCTTAACCCTTTAAGCCCCAATATCCACATACAAATCCTCCAAACTGATCTCTACACATTTCCTTTCAGAATGAGTAAAGCGAATCTGATAAAACATCAAAGCGTTTTCCCTTTGGTGATCATTTTATTTATTCTCATAACCTAATCTCCTTACAATGTATGGATATCATTAGGAGAAAATTGATTTTGGCCACCACTGGGACTTGAAGGGTTAACTTGAGACTACATGTAGCTCACACTTACAAGTGAGTTAGTGGGAGCAGATGCTTTTTACGAGCCCATGTGACAACAGGCTATCAATATGGTCTGTAGTAGTGTTAAAGAGTCGGAGTTAGAAAAACTCATGGGACCTTTGCCAGGCAGTGCTGGTACCTTTTGTTGTCTATTCTTTTGGAGTTACTTATCAACATGCTTTGCAACAATCATAAACTGATAAAATCTCTTTCTTGCTGTCTTTACTTAGACTCCAAAGCTTGTAGCTCAGAGAGAGTTCATAAGTGCATTGATAGCTATTGGAAAGAGGCTTACTTCCCAGCCAACAAAACACCTCAAGAGTAAGTATTTGCCTTTTTATGGTCCAGGCATGCACCCAAAATGTAGTATCTCAAAATACATCCCTCCTTAGGTGGTTATTTTTGCCCAAAAGTAATTTTGAAGCGATTGGTCATTAGTGGAGCCAGATGTCTTTCCATTCTTGTTCCTTTTTCTGGTATCATAATACTGTGAACAATGAATTCACATTATTTTAACTGCACACAAGGCTACATGATGCTAAAGTATAAATTTGGGCAACTACCGTATTTATTTGGCTATAAGCCAAGTGATTTTAACGCAAATTAACCCTTAAGTTGTGTGAAGTTTGGGGGTCTTGGCTTATAGCCAAGAGTTTTCGACAAAAACTCTTTTTAAAAGCATTGAAACTCTACTAAATGGGGATGTATTCACTTATAAGCCAAGCAAAGAGCAGCAAAAGATTGAATCGATTGTGTGACTAGGAATTCATCTGAATGATAACTTAGCTAAGCACAGAAATTCAGTCCCAAATTGTCAAAATATCTGACAAAAGCAGGTCTAACAACTAAAATCTCACACTGGTAAGCCTTTTACATTAAGGGAAGGTCTAAAACAAAATTAATGAAAGATTTCAAGAAATGTGTAAACAATGTGCTTCACCAAACATGTGCTGCGAAACATTTGCCTGGTTACTAAGCATGGACAAACACAATGCTTTGTTACCATGCAAACCAATTTGAACAAAATAAATATCTCAGATTGATCATCAAAGCCATAAATTGTGTAGGATAGATAATTTAATAGTCTGTGAGCATACCTTATCAGAGGGTAATGGTGTTTTTGCTGAGGAGATGCCTTCCAGCATGCCTTAGCCCATTCCAGGTGTCCACATGGTTTGGTGGCGCATAAAGAGGAGAGCAGAGCTGAGGAAAATAGCAAGGGAACAGCAATACAGAGAGTTTCCTTTTCAAAAACCCTTCTGTTCTCCTCTACATGCTATTCCTCAACATCTAAATGTCTGGGAACATAACTCCCTGTAGCCTGAGAAACCAGCCAACATTTTGTTGCACTGGTAACCACTGGTTTCCCTGCAAAATGACTTCTGAGGAAAAAATGCAGAAATTCCACATTGATGACTTGTCATTACCCAGATTTAGGTAGTGCTTCTGATTGGTTGTGCCGCGGGGGGAATTTACCTCAACCAATCAGTGGCACTTTAGTGGCATGTCATCAGCATTGAATTTCTGTAGTCATTTCGCAGACATCATTTCATGGGGAAATCAGTGGTGGCATTGCAAAATGTTGGCTGTTTTCTCAGGCTACTCTTATTGAAGTAATGTCTCACTTATTTTAATGCCAAGGGTACCATCTAGAAAAGTCTCAAAATGGTTCCCTATTGGCCTGCAGTAGCATATTCTCAAGTGGTGCCTGGCTCTAACTGATCAGGAACTGAAAATATTTTGGGTCAGTTGTCCATTCCTTATGAGTGAAAATATTAAGCAAATATATGTACCCACAGCACTACTAATTAGTAGCACCTGTTTGCATATTGTTAATCCGTTGTATCATTTTTAGCTTCTAGGCTGTATGCTGAATTATCCCTGTTGAATCTAAACCTGCCAGCCAAAGTCAGCTTACCAGTGCATCATGGAATTGGAGATCATTATGTGGTGAGGATACCACACACTGCTGCTGTGGTTCTCAACTCAAAAGATAAGGTAAGTTCGCCAACAAGTACTGTGTAGGTTTGCCACATTGAACACAAGTAAGATCTAAACAAGAAATGAATAATGGCCTTACTTTCTCTTTGCAAGTGGGTTAGTTAGTTAGTTGTTCATAAAGTCAGTTGGCCTCTGTTCACTCTTTAAGCCCAAAATGTCCAAATACAAAATTCTCCCGAAGGATCTCCTTATATTTCCTTAAAGAATTAGTTGAGAGAATTTGGTAAAAGATCAAGGTATTTTCCCTTTGGTGATCAATTTATTAATTCTCATAACCTTTCTTTTGATGATGTATTGATACTGTAAGGAGTAAATATTGATGTTGGTAACTCTTTGGACTACTGTACTTTTCAAGAACACGTGAACTCTGAAGTTCAAAAACCAACTAACCTTTGCCTTCTTCGCTGCTGTCAATCATCTACGGTTGCCTCTTAGAAACACAAAGTTACTTCAACGAGATCAAAGGGTCATATTAATTTTTGTGATTTCTCATTGGTGGATTTCAATCCTTTTTGTGTGTTTCTGTGTGACAAGCTTCATTGCTTGTGATAGTAATAAGATTGATGGGAGGAAAAAATGCTGTGACAGCAGCAACAACTTGTAACAACTGGCAGGAGGAATTATGAGCAAGGAGTTAGCCTGCTGGCAGGCTCACTTTGGGGAAAATTTTGACAGTGCAAGCAGGTGAAGCTGGTAAGAAGAATACAGCAAGGACAAAGAGAAGAATAATGGTGAATATTTTCTCACCCTATCCTTCTTACCAGCTCTGCCACCAAATTTTCTCCGAAGTCTAGACTGCTTGCAGTCTACCAAGGAGTCAACTCTGGACTCGCAAGTCTGATACGTGCTCTCTTCTCTTATTGACCAGCTAATAAACCAGTTATTTTCAAATAACATGCAACTTTTTGCTGCATTGCAGGCTCCTTACATGATATACGTCGAAGTGTTGTGCATGACAGGAAATGGTGATGATCCTTTTCCATCTAAGCAGTTTCAACCCACTTTACGACAAACAAGGTCAGAAGAGTTCACAGTGTTTAACAAAAGAAGTCATTTTCTTAAGCTGTGAAGATTTTTTTTTACCAGTTGATTATCATCATTATTATTATTACTGTTATTATTATTTCATTTTCATTAGGTCTGAGGAGCATTTACCAACCTACTGCCGCACAGAAGGGGTTCAGTTTACAGTAAGTGGTTCTATCAATATCACTAAGAAAATAATTCTTGGGTCACCAACCAGTGAAAACAGTCATCTCTCCTTGCTCCTCGCTGATATGGACGTTTTGTTTCCCCTGCGAAATGTTCTTAGCAGTAAGGAGAAATGCCCAGATGGCTGTATTTGCAGGCTATCAAGTCACCAGCAGAGGTTAAAAAATTCATGACAGCTTTGAAACCCATCCAGGTTCCTTCTTCAATAAAAATGGAATGAATGCGCTCAGAAAGTTCTGCTCTAACAAGTGAGGAAACAACGTAACTTAAGTTAATTGACAAGGTGACTTGTATTTTGCACTCCCTTTCAGGGAAGTAATATTGACTTGAGGTTATATTTCGTTTTTTGATGTTAGGTTTCACCACCTGGGGACTCAGATGATGAATGTTGGTCAACTGTGATTGAAGACAAGTCAAAACAGGATATCGTTGACGTGAGTAATAAAAGAAGCGGGGAGAACTTTCAATCATGAATATCGAGAGGGAAAGTCTTCATGCAGTATTACAACAGCTATTATGAATTGTTGCATTAACCAGTAACCAAAGCAAAGGTTGCAGTTGATGCCGTGATCTTTGAATCATCCCATATTATTTGGGAGCTTAAGCAACCACACTGGATGACCGCAAGAACTGTAAAAACAAAATGTTTTGCATTTTGGAACATTTTTGTATTGTCTCATAAACAAACAACAGTTAAATTTCTTTCTCTCAAAGAACTAAAGAACTTCTTTATTAATTCAGGCCCGGAAGAGTTAATGCAGATATGACAGTTTATACAATATGGAAGGTGCAAGTGCAGTTTTATCTATCCTTCCAATCCCTTTATAGTGGCTTATGAAGAAAAAGTCACAAAAATTTCACATAGTTTTAGTACAATCCCGAGAAATTGTTAATACGACTCAAAAGTTTTGCCAATGAGAGTTCATTTAGAAAGGTAACACCAAAGGATTTCATTGACACATGCAGAAGTTAGAATGACAGTTCTGTATCTCACCATAATGACTTATCTCTGTGTCGTATACCATTCATGAAAGATGTATCCGTTTTGTTGTCCAGGGTCCATTTGTTGCAGCTGGGGATATTCGACGGAGGCTTTCTGAGTCCCTTAGTGCACCACAGGCCTTGTTTAAAAGGGACCCAGAGGATCCTTCAGGTACAGTGCAAGATTATGATCTGTCAGGCTCAAAACAACTGTTGTATGTATTCTTCGGGTATTCAAATCATACTCTTGAAAATTACAAATGTGTTTCTATCACACCTTACAGTGACGTGTTGTTATGACAGTGTTGCTCTGACTAACTGTTATAACAAAGATAACAACAACAAAATGTTGGTGAGAAAAAGGAAGAATCAGAAATTCAATTGTTTCCTCGGTTAGCTAGGACTGACCTTTCAAAAAATAGGCATTATGTATAGGTATCTCATATTATAGTATGTCCTTTGAATACCTTGTGTTATAATGAAAGATTGGGGCCTAACTTTGTTGACAGAGAGGTATTCTCGAATCGTTAAATTGTAAGCAACTAATAGCATTAAAAAACTTCCCTGTTGTTTCAAAACAATGGCGCAAATGATACTTTTGGGTTCTTTTGGTTTGTAATATTTGTTTTGGAAGAAGATGAGAATGGTAGGGAGGGGAGGGTTTGTCAAAATACAGCTGGTGAGTACACCCATTTCATACTCATGAAGTGTCCTTGATCTCTGTTATTGTTTTGTGACAGCTGCTGTTCTCAAGGAACCGTGGGAAGAGAAAGAGGCAAGGATAAGAGAAGCCTCACCTTATGGTCATGTGTCCAACTGGAATATCCTTTCAATAAAACCATGTACTGTAGTTCGAGAGCGCCCAGTTTGATTTCTCAAATTCTCTGATTTTCTCGCAATGTCACAATATTAGTGAAAGCAGTTTAACCGGCGCTTTTATTCCTCGACCACGTTATGGAGGGATTATTTGCCACACTACCTTTTGACTCTGTGGACGAAATCTGTTGTGTTACCATTCATACGAAACCTCCTTAGCAGAACTTTTTCATGGTGCTAGTTATTTACCTTGCGAACAGAGTCTCCTTCGATCTTCCTAGATAACTCCAGGAAAGATCGAAGCGACTCTGCTAGCAGGGTACTTGTTATTTAGCTTGTAATTTTTTGAGCCTGCGGTGTTACCATACAAATGAAACCTCTTTTCAGCACTACTTTCATTTGGTGCTACAGTTTGTATTTCTAAATTTTAAGTCTGTGGACGAAATGCGGCGGTGTAACCATTCAAATGAAACCTGTTTGGCAGAACTTCTGCATAGTGCTCTTTATTTCTTAGATTTTATCAACTAAAATTCGAATTTTTTTGCGCATTCTTCTGCATGTTGGACACTATTAGGAGCGTGAGAGTTAAAGTCACGCTTGATTCAGTTACTCAACCAATGAACTCAGGTGCTTTGTTTCCCTCAGTGTTTGTATACTATAGAGTATATATTTCCTTGACATTGCGTTTACGACTCTTACCGATGATTGTCAAGTGCGGAGATGACCTTCGTCAAGAACAGCTCGCTTACCAACTACTACTGCAATTTCAGGTTCGTTTTGCAGTGTACTTGTTTTGAATTCTTGTCGATGGTGCTGTTTTGAATTTTTCACTTGGTTTCATTGGTTTTCCGCAATGGTAACGTACTAGTAACTCGATCTTTCCTTTATTTTCTTGTTTATTTTCGCAGAAAATAAACTGAATTCAAGTCAAATGTAAAAACGCGCTCAACAACGTCAGCACAAACACACCAAATATAACCATTCTCTGTTTTTTTTTCCGTAACTAAATGCTTACCATGTTATTCTTTATATTTCAGGCCATTTGGAACCAAGAGCGGGTACCACTGCGGCTTAGGCCGTAAGTAGACCTCTTAAAACAAACTTGCAGATGAGTTTATACAACATTTAACTCACCCTGATACAGGGGACGAGCTTGCGAGTAATAACGTCTCCCCGTTGCCTTTTGTTTTTGGTAGATATGCTGTTGTGGTGACCTCAAATGACAGTGGACTCATCGAACCTGTAGTGAATGCTGTCTCGCTTCACCAGATCAAGAAGAACAGTCAAATGTCTCTCATGAATTACTTCATCAAGGTAATCTTTCCGGTGGAACAACGCCGCAAAAAAGTGATAGGGTTTGGCGGGTGTCTTATTGCTTTCTACCCTTGGGTAGACTGCAAAACAGTCCGTATTTTTGCGTATTCAGGTACGCGAGAGCAGTCAAACAAAAGGTCTGGAACAAGGCGTGCGAGGCTCGCGCGCTTCGCGCGCGTAGGACTCTTACGCCACGCTTTACCTATTTTGAGAAAAAAACCGACTGTTTTGCAGTCTAACCCTTGGGACGCAGTGAGAGAGGTGCCAAGCATGTCTGCCTCTGAACAATGAGTCTTTCCGCACGAGTCACTTGACTGGAGTAACCTGTACTAAATAAAGGCATTTGAGCCGGGGCAACACCTCAAGAAAAACTTCGTCGCAACGCACCTCTGCTGACCGCTTAGAGCGTTCAGTGAAGATTTCAGCCACACACTGAGTAAATGTGAAAGAAGGCACGGATAAAGAAGATAAAAACGGTTTGGGATTTGGGCCTAACAGTTTTTCATAACTTTATATCTGATGATGATATTAGGCTTGTTATTTGTTTGTCTCACCATAGTCACTTTGTTATTGATAGTAATTGAATAGAAGATACCTTTAGATTCCAAGGACGAGAACGACTATGATTACGAGATTTTCTTAATACTGAGTAGCACCTTCCGGTCAAACAGCGTTATTTTGGCGGGAAACAAGTGATAGCCGTCGTCATTTCACTACGTTTTCCCACCAAACTGACGCTGCTTCACGCGCGGTTTCTAGTGCGTTTTCCATTTACTAAAAACTTTCGGAAACTTCCCTGGAAAGGTCCGGATCCCGCACCTATTTGAAAGATTGTTTTTGATTAGCTTGGAAAACAGTGGGGATTGTCATATAACAATGCCCCTATCCCTGCAAACAATGGAAGTGCAGATTAAAGGGGACCAGTGAAATAAGAGGTTTAGAACGGTGCAGGTTTACTGAAAGGTCCGTCGAGTGAAGAACGTGTTCCATTTAACACAAGTTCCATACGTTGGCACCGATATCGCCGTGAATAGCCTGGAACTGGTGATTCCTTGTGAAAACTCGTAAATAGAACATGCTTTTTCACCGGAGAATTTCCAACGGGAAAACTGGACTACCTTTTTAAAATTCCATTTATGCCCGAGGTCTTTCCAGTGGAACGAAAACGTGTGTGCCATCAACACCCCAACCGGAATTTCAGTATTGACAAATCTCGTACTCATAGTCGTCCTCGTCTTAGAATCTAAAGGTCTCACCGTTTCGACTGCGTGCTACTGGTTTTCATCGGGCGGTGGTGTTGTTTACTGAGCAAGACTATTAGTTACACAATGGCTGCTTGTGATAAGTACCTTACGTAGTGACATAGCCTCTTTAAAATGTTCTCTTTTATTGTTTTATTTTTATTAATATTTTTACTACCATTCATAGGAACACGGAAATGTCAACTCAGAGGAGTTTTTGAATGCTCAGCGTAATTTTGTTCAGAGTTGTGCAGCATATTGTCTTGTGTGTTACTTCATGCAAGTCAAAGACAGGTGCCTCCGACCTCCTTTTTTTTGGAGTTTTAATGTTGTGTATACTTTACTAGTAGGAGTGTTTTGCGTGGCGTCATTTTTTACTTGCGACACTTATTTCCCTTTTGTAAACGGCCGTTGCCCTTTTTAACGGTCTACCACCACTGGTAACTGAGCCCTTTAGTCTGGATAGGTAAATTAAATTTACTGGGTTAACTTACAATGAGGCAAATAATACGTCTTTGAATAGTCTTAGAAAGAACGATGTTGAAGCCAAAGTCGAATTTACGTTAAAAGTTCTGGAAAGGGCTAGGGTCACCTGTTATTGATGTATCAGTTAAGAAAGACAGTTTGCTTGTTTATGTACTAAAATATTTCGAAATTTTGGCGAATATGGTAGTGTAGTGGTAAGGGAGAGAGGTTAGGGTACGAAAAGTCCGGGTTAGAGGTTCGGGTTCTTAGGCAAATTTCCACCGGTGATCTTCCCTCCAGATAGTGAGAGTCTCTATGAATAAAAACACGATCCTGACAGTTCTTCTGTTCTCATTTTAGGCATAACGGCAATATTTTACTTGACGGAGAAGGTCACATCATCCACATTGACTTTGGATTTATCCTTTCTTGCTCTCCCGGCCGCAACCTTGGTTTTGAGAGCTCACCGTTCAAACTCACACTGGAGTTTGCAGAGGTGAGTTTTGCTTGTGTTCAAATCTAGCTTAGTTTGTTTTATTGATATTTGTCAAGAAAGAAACTAGATGCATACAAACAACAGCACGCTGACAGGAGATGAAAACAGGGGAGGAGCTCCAATGACTTTCAACCCCTACAATGTCTCCAAGACTATAAGACAAAAATACTAAAATCGGATGAAAGAGGATGTAATCAAATGGTGAAGGAAAGGGGAAAGGTGTGTCCAATAAGAATGTGCTTTAGGCAGGAAGTAACTGATTTGATGGTCGATAGTAACGATTTACCATGGTGTTATAGTGATCATGGGTGACGAAAACGTTTTAAACTGGATTTTTGAGCATGTGGATCGTATCGATCAAGAACTTACTGTCTAGAAATGTTTAGACTATTCCTTAAAAGTTTAGAATTGTTCAATTTTCGGCAAAAAAATTCAATCCATCTTGAAAACCTAACTATAGTTTCTGAAGTACTGAAAAACAATTTGTTCCTTGTAAAAAAACACTGCTATACAGCTTTGGTCACAGACAACACACGCTAGTAGTTCTTACACAGACTCCATAGTGATCGTGGTATCTTAACGTCAGATTGTCTACGTTATCTTCCTCATCCTTTAGCCGCGGCAGTATTAGCTCAGTTGGTAGAGCGCTTGACTGCAGAGCAGGAAGTCAATGGAACAATACTCGAGGTCTTAAAAATAACGGAGAAATAAAGGTGTTTCCTTTGCCCTGCAAACGGCTAGACCTTTGCATGGTTCGGATGATCACATAAAATGGCGGTCCCGTCTCCAGTAAGAAACGTAAAAAGTAGTGTCCCCAATTAATTCTTTCGTGCTAAATACATTGACAATCAAGTACAATGCATTTTTTTTTTTAGGTAATGGGTGGAGTTGATAGCGACATGTACAATTACTTCAAAATATTGATGCTTCAAGGTTTTCTTGCCGCGCGTAAAAATATGGACAAATGTCTCCAGCTGGTGGAGATTATGCAGACAGGTACGTGGATGGTTGGGTTTATCAGTCCAACACTACAGATTATAATATGTTGTACAGCATCGAAAGTTAACTGGTCATTTTCATAGAGCTCAGGGAACTCGTAACTATTATTTCAAAACAATAGGTTATTGTCTCAAGAAGGTTTTATAGAACCTGGCCCAGGGCTCCTCCTTGTTGCCATAGGGTACCAGGACAAAGACGGCTCTTATGGAAATAGGCCTTAATTGATAAGTTCGATCCTTTAAAATACAGTGTCTACTAAATAATTCTCAGCAGCTTTCCTTATTCTTATTACGTCGGAAAGGGACTGACTCACTTAAGGCGCAGACGCTCTCTTTGACCCTAAATACAGAAAATACCCCGCTTATACGGACAGTTTGTTTTGTCCCTGGGGATAGAAGTCCTTACAGTTTCATTAATTTCAACCCGCTTAATACGAACACTTTCTATGGCCCCCTGAGCGTCTGTATTAACGTGCTTTGACTGTACACTGCGACTTTCACGTTCCTTATAATGCAATTGGTATCAGGTCGTTTCGCCCAAAGGTTGATTCACCCGGTGGCAGTTTGCCCAGACTAAGAGCCTGTTTACATGGAGTGGGGGACCCCGGTCTGGTGGGGTTGGTTTCTTTTGTTTTCACGCTCTGGGGGACACAAAACAAAAGAAACCTACCCCACTAGACCGGGGTCCCCCACTCCATGTAAACAGGGTCTAAGTCGATTCACCCTATGTGTATTTGTCGTTCTTTATGCCTGAGAAAAAGGAATAGGCGTGGAAAGACAGTGACCGCATATGTGGAATCCAAGGTTAACTAGAGTAAAATCTTGGAGAAGTAAGTTCACCATGTTGTAGAGTGCTGTACGTCATCGGGTGAATCGACTTAAGTCCTAGCGAAAGCCTTCGGGCAAATCGACTTTCGGGCAAAAAGACCGCAATCCATGCAATTTACCCTCCCCTAACAACTTTGCATAAGTATTATTTTCAATTTCTCTTGGGACTAACCATCGTCCCTTGAGAAAAAAATTTGTGGAAAGTTTTTGGGGAAGGACAAATTGTATTATGGAGAACGTAGAAGTTGCAGATCGTGTTGCGCCATGCGTTACTTCTGTGTGATTATTTGTTTGTTTGTTAATTTATTCTGTTGCTTTTTCGTGCGCAGGTTCTCAGCTGCCGTGCTTTAACCGTGGTGCTTCGACTGTGCGAGCAATGAGAGAAAGATTCCACATGAACTTGACGGAGGAACAGCTTGGTTCCTTCATTGATGAACTGGTGGAAACAAGCATGCACTCTCTCACTACCAAACTTTACGATGGCTTCCAATACCTCACGAATGGCATCTTATAACACAACCCAAGATCACAATCAATGAATGGAGCACGCACTCGCTCGGCACAATCTAGCTTTACTACGATTTCAATACCTTACCCCGTGGATGGAATCTTATAGCAGGACGTCACTGATGACTTTGGTTAATACTTGAATTACGTCCTATTTATGAAGTGAATGACGCTCTCGCTCAGTATCAAAGGTCACGACTTTTTCCAGTTATTTAAAAACGAGGTCACAGCAGATCTATGACGTCCCTCTTTCTGTTGAATTCGCCAAAGGGATGAATGGAAATAGCGCGAATGCAGTTACCAATGAACTCGATGATTGAGATGAACACCCCGTTTATTGTGTTAAAAGAGTGGTCAGAGCTAGTGGGTATCTAGCCTCTTCCAGGCCCTCAGATATTAGGAATGGACTCGTAAGTGAAAGGCGCGCGAAAATATGAGTGCGTGATCTGGGAAAAGGGGGCAGTGGCGGAAAAAAGCCGTCCTACCTCTCCCCAGTTTCCTCCCGTTTTATTTTCGTGTTCGCGCTTTCTCAACTACCTCGGAGCCTGGAACCAGCTAGTCGCTATCTCGCACCAACATTCGTACCCTGGTGTTTTTAGGAGACGCCTGGTGGTGCCTGTAAGTTTTCCGTGAAAGGAAACTCACTTTGCAAAGACGTTATATACAGACAAAGCGCAACCAAGTATCTAGTGTCTGGAGAAACATTGAAAAATTGCTTGTAAGCGCTGTATTCTTACAACACAAAGCGCTGAGTCGTGGAAAAATCGACAATGGTACAATAGGTGGGCCCTGTCTAAATATAAGAGACAAAATGAACATTACTGTACAGTTCATTGCCGATTTGTATAGGTAATAGCATGATTTGAAATGATATTTGGCATAAATACCACAAGTGATATTTCGAAATTGTTATACGTAATTTCACGAGCCGTTAGGCGAGTGAAATTTGAGACAATTTTGAAATATCACAAGTGGTATTTATGCCACATATCACGTACAAATCATGCTATTATTTGTTTATACTACTACCCACAAAAGGTTTGTAATTTTCACATGTAGGTATTTCAAATTAAGCTGAAATACCACTGCTCTAAGCCAATCAAATTGCAGAAATTTCTCTTGTAGTAGTATAACTGTTGTTATTATCCGACTTGAGACGAAGGAAAGGTAACCTTCCTTGTGAGGATGTGGTCATTTCCTGTTGAACGATTCAATCTCCGTCCGATATTCGAAAACTCTTGTTTGAAAAAAAAGTGAAGTCAGCGAGTCTTAATCGCAGCAATTCAGGCCACAGAAGTCCAGCCAAACATAATTGGGAATATTTGAATGACAAGCTAACCTTGCTAGGCCATGTAAATCAGATGAAATTTTGGCCCTCCGTCTTCACCTGAGTTATTTGAAGAGTTGAATTATGTGTCATGATTAGATGTCTCGGCTGCTATTTTAGTTTTTTTTTGTATTCATTGTTTACCTGAATGTTTTTATGCACAAGTTTTTAAAAGATATAAAATTACTAAAAAGGATTTGCCGATTCGATCACCCGCCAAACGACGGCAAACATTTTTTTTCCTTGATGAAACAAAAAGGAGTTAATAAAGGCGGTCAGTTCAAACTGAATGTTTCTTGGTTATATGGCGAAAAACTGCTGTTGGTAGCTTTTCTGCTGTGGTGTCTGCTTTTTTATTCGGATCTCCTCTTTCGTCGTCGTGAATTTCGGTAATCCGTGTTTTTTACTATGGATATTCTACGTCTAAGAGTCAGTTGTGGTATGTGGGTTCTTACAACCAAGGCGCATTTTGATGTGATTATTCATCGTCTGACGACCATATATTTCCAAGTCCTGAGAAATTAACAATCTTTTTCAATTTGCTTGGCCACCTTTATCTCCCTCCCACACCCCTTGCCTTATCACCCCTCCCCTTGTACTCAGTATTGGGCAACGAAGGCTACGTCAACTATTGGAAATTATTTGGCTTTCCTTGTAACGTGAGGGACAGAGTACTACATGTACTTGAAGCACCTTTATGGTTTAGCGCCTGTTTGCATGGAGGTAGGGAACCCCAGGTAGTTGAGGTAACCCGCCTGTCCATATAATCTCTTATTTTTGTTTTATCACGTGTTCGTGATAGGTGGACTGACTCGCCACATGTTACCTCACCTACCTGGGGTCCCGCAGTTCCATGTAAACAGGCTCTTAGATAACTGCTATTTGTTTCGGAACAGTCGTTGTTAATTCCAGCGTGAATTGCTCGTACGCCGGGGCTAGCCTGAGTATCCTTCAGTTCACCAACATGGCGGCCCCTCGAGGCCTCGTCAAAACTGTCATTCCTGTATCTTTGAAACCAAAGAGAATTCAAACCTTAGAATATGCATTCAGTATTTAGGAAACCATTCTAAGACTACATGCCAAAAATCAGCCAAATCGACCAGGTACCGTGTCAGGCCGAAGTTCGAATTTTACAGAAAACCACTCTTAAGTTTGCCACGACAGCCCTCACAATCTCTTGGATTGTCCTAGAGTCACCCTTAGCATTCACATTGTCCGCCATATTGACCAGAGAGTTTGAGTGAAGGGAAATCTTTTCGCGCCAAAATGCAGTTATGCAAACATCCCATACGTACAGTGTAGCCAAACTCTTATCATTTCCGGTTCCTGTGTATTTTTACTTCCGCTTCCTTTCGAAATGTGACGTGACGTTAAGTTCAAATTGTAGATTTCATTTGGAATTTTACGGAAGATTATGGCTGCATTGTTGACGATTAAGAAGCTTATTAGAGTGGAGAAGGTGAATAATGAAGTTCAAATCATGTAATTTGCATTTTAGTTGAAATGGTGATTTGAACTTCAACATCCGCGATGTCGAGTTTTCCCTTTTTAGTTTCAACTTGTTCAAAGTAACTTCAAGTTCGAATGATGCTATTTCGACATGGATAGTCTAATTCTTTAACTTCAAATTGTATTTTATTTTCAATTATTTTTGTCGGCAAATGTACGCGATAGGGTCAAACAATAACAGCGAAAAAACCGACTAAATCGATCAATTCACACCAAAAAACACAGAAATATATCAAAGGAAAGTCTCCTTTATTTATTTTATAGAAAAATAAGTAAGAATAATGATATTTAGCGTTCGCAGACCTCAATACAAAGTCTCAACGGTTTCTTCTTGAACGCGAAACCGACTCTCTTTTGAGAAAATCAATTTACATAACACACTCGCAACCAACCTCGTTCCCAGGGCTTTTCCCTTAAAAAATAGGTGGGGCGGGGCCTCACCCATTTTTTAAGGGAAAATCCCTGGGGACGAGGTTGACTAGCAACGTGAGCTTGGAAGCCTGTGGCCCGATTAGCATTTTAGAAACCGAGTTTCATCACAGGTAACCCAGGCTCTGTGATAGTACCACAGTACGGTTCCAGTAAAATTACAGTGTTTGTATGGGGTAAAAATATCATCCTAAAATTTCTAGGAAATACTAAATAAAGATCAATGAAACTTACTCTGCAGTTAATTGTTGTTGTCCTTATTACTCCAACGAAGTTTCGTGATAATTTGCAGTAATTTGTTCAAATTCACTCTATCTACAATAATTATATACAAGGTAGGAAACACGAGGTGCCATTTTCGCCGACATGCTCTCATTCAACACAACTTTTTCCTCGAAATTCGAACTCCAACGGAAAATAAACATGCCAGGATCGTAGAAATAGGATAGCAGCAGATATAGAAACCAATGAAGCTTTCCCAGATAGAGAAACGAATCCCACAGACTTGGACAAACTCGAAGAATATAATCCAAACACACCGAGAATACGCTCGCCGAAGCAGCCGGGCCAGATCAACGCGCGGCCAAGAAAATGAAGCCTGGGCACTGTACAAAAAAATTCCATCCCGGGAGTCCTGGGGTGACCTTTCTAGGGACCGATACATCATTTGCCCAAGGCCACCCTCCCCTGCTGGAAAAATACTTGATAGAAGGCAATTGTTCTTCCTAGCCAATCACTTTGGCCTGTTATAAAGAGATTATTTTCCTCTCGAACTATATTCAGCTCCTGGCGCTGGTCCTCAGAAAGTTTATCAAACATCAATAGGGCAAGGTTATAAGGGCAAAGGAAAGAACAACAAAGGACGATTTACAAAACTTAAAACGAGCAAAAGATATAAGTGAATTTTGGCTCTTACCGAGGCATTTGTACAACAGGACCAAATTCAAAGAGAGGTGTATCACGAGTGATTCACATATTTAACCGATAGAGCGTTCACTTGTATTGACAAGAAGTCGGCGTGTTACTGCCGCATTAATCGCTAAATATGTTAATCGCGCTAGTTGTTTGTTTACTAGTGCACGTGCCTTTCACATTCGTCTCAGTTATCGCAATTCATATTCTGTCGCAATTTTCTGTATAATTTTTGACATTAGTTTGTACGTAAGCTTCACCGTTTATTTACGATAGTTTCGCTCGAGAGTTCACAGCAACAGTATCTCAGTCATCATCTACCTTTTGTTCAACCTTGTTTTTAGCCCGCCTTGTAAGCATTTCGCGTTGTTATTTCATTAGTTTCATTACTGTTATTTGCATTCCTTAGTAAAAGAAATGGGACGCCTTGTAACTCCGCAGACTCTCCTGATTATATTACTTTTTTTAGCCATTTAAATTCAGGCGCGTGTGCGGGGTTTGCTCTGGCAAATGGTGATTGGCTAGGAAGAACAATTGCCTTCTATCAAGTATTTTTCCAGCAGGGGAGGGTGGCCTTGGGCAAATGATGTATCGGTCCCTAGAAAGGTCACCCCAGGACTCCCGGGATGGAATTTTTTTGTACAGTGCCCAGGCTTCATTTTCTTGGCCGCGCGTTGATCTGGCCCGGCTGCTTCGGCGAGCGTATTCTCGGTGTGTTTGGATTATATTCTTCGAGTTTGTCCAAGTCTGTGGGATTCGTTTCTCTATCTGGGAAAGCTTCATTGGTTTCTATATCTGCTGCTATCCTATTTCTACGATCCTGGCATGTTTATTTTCCGTTGGAGTTCGAATTTCGTGGAAAAAGTTGTGTTGAATGAGAGCATGTCGGCGAAAATGGCACCTCGTGTTTCCTACCTTGTATATTATTATTGTAGATAGAGTGAATTTGAACAAATTACTGCAAATTATCACGAAACTTCGTTGGAGTAATAAGGACAACAACAATTAACTGCAGAGTAAGTTTCATTGATCTTTATTTAGTATTTCCTAGAAATTTTAGGATGATATTTTTACCCCATACAAACATTGTAATTTTACTGGAACCGTACTGTGGTACTATCACAGAGCCTGGGTTACCTGTGGTTTCATCGGAGCGGAGAAAAAGTCGAATTTTATTTGAGTTGCTTGTCTGAGGAGAGGTGCAGTGTGGTTTAAGTCTTACGTTTGTGATAAGCTAAGGTAAGAATATTAGCTGCAAAGTCATTCTTAAGCAGAATATGTATACTTGATAATAAGTCACGGTTGAAAGTTCTATTGCCTTACAATGTGTTTTTGCTGAACATTATGCAACCCTGCGCAATGCCCTTCGTCTTCGCCGTCATAGTATGATTTGAGGCGTTCATTAAAGAGAGTTAAAGAATATAACTATCGTCTCATGGCGCCTTCAGGAAACCAAAAGTGATTTAAAGTGACTAAACGTCTTGCAGACAGCTGCAACTGCTCGGAGATCCGATTGCTATCCGCGCTACATGTAGTAGCTTTGCTGTTGTCCCTAGCAAATTAGTAAAAATTCGTTCCCTTTAGGTTTTAATATTTTGAGGACTTCTCGCACCAGAAAATGACATTTGCAGCGTGTACAACTGTACAGTCCTTTATTCTATTACTTAAGGTATTTTACAATTTCTCGACAACGCCTAGATATTTATGGCCTATATCAGGTGCGTCAGCCACGTTTATAGCTTAGACTGTTTGGCAAGTAGGCGAGCCCCTTTCTCATATAAACCTGAAAATTTTGTCAGGCCAAGAAAGTTAAAAAGCGCTCCATTCTGGCTAACTTAGACTGTTCACATTCCCTAAGATCGTCGAGACCGAACTTGTTGTAACCGGCCGACACGGTTGGTTACACTAATGTGGCCGCACAATTCACTACAATAATTCCATATTCATTCACATCACGAACACATTCACATCATTGTACTATTTTTAATGAGTCTTCAATGGACTGCATTGCTCGCTGCCATGGCTCGCTGGCTCGCAAATTATACACACAATTAACAATTGTTGGACGAGGTTGAGCAAAATATCGTGATTTGTCTGTGGCGAGCAGAACTATTATTTGCCGAAGCCGAAGGCTGAGGCAAATAATTGATCTGCGAGACACTGACAAATCACGGTATTTTGCGATAACCGAATTCAATGACTGTTTTATCATTCGATCACCGAGTTTGTATTTGTAATAAATATCCTTGGGAAGCCAAGCGATCTGCCATTTTCACGCAAGAGCGATCGCAAGAAGGAGATCTAGAAAAGCACGGTTTCCTTTACGCATGAGCAGAATATTATTTGCAGCCAAACACAGTTGGACGGTATTGTGCATGAGCAGACCATTATTTATAGGTAGTTATTTGCAGGTCACGTGGTGGGCTGTCGGCCAATGAAAAGAAAGATAAATTTGCTTCGAATGGCAATACTCGGTCTACCTGGCGACCGTTGAAAATAGGAGACTTTGACTGAGATCTGTGAACGCGAAATAAACAACGATAAATCCAATTCTTCTTTCAACGAAATGAATAAAAAATACTTGCCTGCGATGTATTCCACTAAGAAGACAGTGACATCTAGGAAATCTAAAGGCGTCCACCTGGCTGATCAAGGGATGTGTGGGCTAGTTCATCCTTTGCTAAAGAAGCTTGGACTTGACTTGGTTTTTCAGAGTGTTAGACCAGTCAACAATCTGCAGTACATCTCTAAGCTCGTCAAAAAGGCTGTATTTCAGTGAAAAGGAACGAGCACATGGTCGTCAATGAAATCTATCCTGATCTGCAATCGTCCCATTGTCAATATCGCAGCACTGAAACGGCCTTGCTCAAAGTTATGAACGACGTCCTCTTGAAAATGAACTTGCAGCATATGACCCTGATGGTCTTGTTGGATTGAAGCGCCGCATTTGACGCAGTTGATCATAATACGACTGCGCAGGGATGTTGGCATAAGGGGGAAAGTGCTTGACTGGTGCAGCTCATATCTGTCGAATTGGAGCCAGCAAGTCTCCATCGATGGGTCGCCTTCTAGACAGTTCCCTCTTGACTGTGGCGTACCTTGGGGTTCTTGCCTGGGACCCTTGCTGTTCGTCATTTACACTTCCTTGCTGTTTAAGGTTATCGAGCATCACCTCCCGCACGTTCACTGTATCAAGGACGATAACGCACCAGATGAGACGCTGCGTGCTATGGGGGAGTGCATACATGACTTATAGAAATGGCTGATTGATGGAAGGTTGCCACTAAATGATGATAAAACTGAAACTTCTATTCATTGATCTTTCGTTAAATGCTGGAAACAATTCACTATTAACAAAATATGTAAAGCCTGTTTCTATCATATTCATAATATCCGTCGAATTTCAAAACTTTTGTCAAAGGAATGCCTTCAGTTCATGCTTTTGTGACCTCAAGACTAGATTACTGTATGGGCTACCCAAATATCAGATTTGTAAGCTACAACGTGCCCAGAACACCGCGGTCTTCCCGCGCATATCTGTGATATCGGATCACTGTGCGCATTTAAGGGACAAGTCAAGACATATCTTGTGATGCGAATTGGCTTGTTAATGAAAAGTTCTAAACATTCTTCATTTGCGTCCAACAAACATAATATATCGTCATTAAGCCTTTTCCATATCAGCAGTGTGTTAGTAATTTGCCCCAGTTAGAATCTCCTTTTCCTAGTTTTGCCACAAAAGTATTGGCAAAGGCTACGGCCATTTTACCGACCCATGGCTTTACCGAGTGTCTGGAGATAATGTTGGCCATTAAAATGGATGGAGTTCTTTTTTAAGATAAGGTTCTGTATTTGTCTAAGAAAATGTGTAGCTATAGGAGGATTTCGTTCATGGAAATCTTGGTATGTTTGATATACTAAATCCCTTCCTCTTGTGGAATGTTTGTGTATTGTGTACCCCAGGGGTTCTCCTTTTAATGGCTTATACGGAGAGGCACTACCCCAAAGGGGTACCTTTTTAAGCTTAGGTATATAAAAAGGGTAGGGATTTCATTATATTGTAAATGTTCTTGTTCTTTGGCCACCCTAGTTGAAGTATATAAAAAGGTAGGGAAATCTGTCATTTCGGTCTATTCAAAAGCGTAGAGTGCTGTCCTGTCTCCAGTAGACGTAAATTAAAATAGTGTCCCCAGTTAGTACTTCCGTGCTAAATACAATGACAATCATTATTACAGATGATTTATTACATCTTTAGGTCTTGAAAAATGTAAAAAGGAATGCAATATGTTTTAAATTATTGTGGTACAATATTTTTGTCCACTGAAAATTAAAATTACTCAACTGCATGGTGGATTCCGTCTTAATGTCTTTATTTCTGATAAAGACACGGGTAAGCTTTACGTCCAATTTTTTAGACCAAAATAACCCCAAATTTAAATTTTTATGCAAGAAAGAGTTGATCTATATCAGAGATTTTGAAGCCGTTCAAAAAATTGGCAGTCGTGTATTATCGGGAGTAAAAACTCCACTCCTGCTCGTTTTTTAAACAGTACTTAAAACACACTTACGTTTTCATGACATCTTTTCCTTATCAGCGACCATTAACGTTGCGACTGTAGAAAATTAAAGTAGACTCTCGTGTTCAAATTCCCCAAAAAAAACTTTGCCAAAGGTTACAGCCCCGCATCCACAAGCCTGACTTTGCTTCTTTGTCCCCACCCCCACCCACTCCCCCCGGAACAGAAAGCAGTTTGTGCTTCTTTGCCCCCACCCCCACTCAATTCCCCCCCCGGAACGCAGTCAAGAGATCGAGATTGGATGGGAGGAGGCTGTTGAATTTTGAATTGATCAGCGCATTGATTAGATCTAGGCACTTAATTCAGTCAACTTGGATTATGCAGTGGATGTTATTTCTTATATTTGTCAATATTGCTCCTAGATCAATATGGAGGCTGAGCATAACGCAACAGAATATCATAAATTGGAGGCAGAAGTTACAAAAGAATTGAGCGAAATGAAAAGATTTGCCTCAATGGAAGAAAGGCAGGACAGTGGAGTGTTACCTCTGGATATCATTTCCACTCTTTGTCATGGTAATCCCAATATATTGGGAGTTTGATTAAAATTCCAGACTTTTTTTTTGGGCAGAAATGGCATTTCCGCATCTAATGAAAACGCCTGTATTGCCGGGGCTCCGACCGGATTGTCCCCAGTCTTCTACGCAGACGTTCTTAGAGCTACGTCATGCTCACGTCATGCGTTCCTCCCCTAAGTCCTAAGAACGTCTGCATGGGAGGCTAATTGTTCCCGTTCTCAAATGCCCTTCGACCCTGTCCACACCCTCTTTTCCCTTCAGGTTTGAATAAACATTTAATAGATAACGTTCTCGTTTTATCCGGAATAATAAAGGTCATAGTTTATATTGGCAAGGCTGATTACACTTACCGAATCCTTAATTATTCCGAATATCATATAAACTGAATCTAACATATATTGTTTTTGTTGTGAAGTACCCAGTACTTGTTTAAGGCTATGTTCATGCTATACCAGTTAGCTTTTCATGCCAACACAAAACGTTATGTGAAAAGGAAACGTTATCAGATATAAAGGAAACGATATCAGATATAGTATAAACACCTATCCGATATGTGACTCTCCACCTTAGAGATCGGTGTGGCACAGCCGCAGAAGCTGAACAGAAGCTCTATCTGGCCTGTCGGCGCAAGAGTTATCTGGTAAAGTATGAAAGTAGCCTAAGAAAGCTTTTTGGGGCGTTATCCAGCCTTCCTTTCAGCACCAAACAGTTGAATCCAAACAATTCCTAGACTAACTAAGAGACCATTTTACAGTTGTGTGCTCAGTGTCTTTGCCTTTGAATAGAAGCGGGGATGGCGGTGACCTTGTTTTGGTACAAACCTTCTTACCGACTGTAAAATGGGCTATGAGAGAGCTTAAACAACGACGACGAGGACGGTGGAGAAAACGTCCCATCATCTCTCTCATTCAATGTCGTTCAATTTATCAAATGTTGGTGAATTTTTCTGGAGTTAACTTCTAAAGGACTGTATCTCAGTTCTAAAAAGAATTAGAAAATCGTTGTATTGTGTTCACGTCCTCCACAAAACGTGAAGTTAGGAAGTTTGACGTCGTGGTCATTCAACGCCGGCAAAGAAATGTACAAGAAAGCGTGACGCACGTGCAAAGGTGTTGTTTTGCTAATCTAAACCTATTGCTGTTTTGCCGTTCTCGTTAACGTCGTCGTAATGGTTGCTTAAGCTTCCTAAAACCTTAAAATTCAGAAAATAAGCCCCGGGGCTTATATTTTTCAAAGGCCCTTTTTTGAGGGGCTTATATTCGGAGGGGCTTTTCTACGGAGGGAAATTTGCGTTTCAAAATCGATTGGGCTAGCCTTATGGTTGGAAGTAAATTAACCGTTTTTGCTTTGTTTTACTTTGTATTTGAGGGCAATTTTCCAAGTACAAGCCCCCGGGGGGCTTATATTTGGAGGGGCGATTTAACGGAGGGTTTTTTGGGTTACCGGATTGGGGGGCTTATATTTGGAGGAGCTTATACATGGAGGGGCTTATTTTCGGAATTTTACGGTATTTCCTTAGGAAAATACCAGACCTACTGGAGAGGAGTATCGCTCATGAAAGATCCGTTGGACCTAACGATACTTCAGCAGTTGCTATGGGAACTTAAGCCCCGAACTGTTATTGAGTTTGGCGCCTACAAAGGAGGTTCAGCTTTGTGGATAGCGGACCTGTTGAAGATGTACGGTTGTCAGTCTCGTGTCATATCTACTGACATCGATCTTTCCTTACTTGATGCTGAAGCTAAAAAGTCTAAGGATGTCGAGTTTATTCAAGGCGACTCGTCTAATATTGAACAGTTTTTCCCCGAAGAATTTCTCAAGGTAAGGTAATAAAAATTTTAATAAAAGGGCATTTAAAACGCAGGATTGTTTTACGTTTTGCTAAATGTTTTACTGTTATCATCTGTACTCACTCGGTTGTCTTATTTTAGGACGTTTGGAAAAAGTTAAGGGGCGCTATTTCTAGAACCAAACAACAACAGCAAAAAAATTAAACGTTATTTAGAGAAAGTGATACTTATCAGTTTCAGTAATAGACAAACCTGTGGCCCTATTGTTGTCCCCAGCTAATTAGTCACGCTTTCCAGAACGAATTATAATGTATAATGTTGCTTTTAAGGAGGAAGGGCAGTAACCAAAATAGCTGGATAATATTCCCTGGGAGCAGAGAAGAGAATTAACAACAACGCCCACCCACATATGACGTCGACTCGAACCCTAGCCTCCCACGCAGACGTTCTTAGGGATTCGTAACGCGTTCCTGTCCCACGCGTGACGAACCCCTAAGAACGTCTGCGTCGGAGGCTACTAGAACCCAGGCTTCATTAGTCAGGGAAGCGAGAGTTCTCAACACTTCGCCATCTCTACTCCCCGACAAAAATCCTTCCTAGTTTTTCTCTGAAGTATGCTATAATAGTAAAAAACAGTCACTCAAGTACAAAATGGCTCTGAGTTACAATAACAAGCCATAAACAATATGTTTATGTTTTTTCCAAAATAGACGTACGTTTCCGGCAGCAATGCTTTACAGTGTTGAAATAATTAGGTTGGATAAGCGCTCAGGAAGCCATGAAGAGAAATTGGGAAACTTAAACAGTTTGAGATCTTGCAACCAAACAAAGCTTTACCACATAATTCATAAATTTGTTATATTTCAAAATGAAATTAGAAGAAAATTTAACACATTGATCGTGCTTTGAAATCTAACTTATGGGTTTGACACAGTTGAGGACCTTTTTGGCTGATGGGGAAAAAGGGAGCCTTGTTATGTTGCATTCGGATATACGAGAACAGAAATACATTCCCTGATTACGGTGTAACAATTCTGTGGTATCAAGCTAAACTTTGTAAAATAGTTCTTTGGTTTGATCTGTGTATAAGGTAAAGCTTCATGTAGATGCATGGAAAAGAGATTAGCTTGCTCGCTTTTTTGATTGTTGTCAATGGGATGTGTGTTCCACAAACATTTGAAACTTACTTTTATGCCAACAGAACAGCCTTGTACCTTTTCTTTCCTGTGAAGCCTGGAGCGAGGTCCTGGAGAGTGTTCACCAGTGACAACAACGCTCAATGTACACCTTTACTGTAATTTATAATTCTTACGTAGTACCGGCTAAACTTCATTATCCGGTTTATGCTGTAATCAATGACATTATTCAATATAACAATAAACAAATAATAATAATTGTTATTATTAATTAGTAACTATTTGCAAAACCATTGAATATCTTAAAGTTACACTGAAAGGTTACACGCAATGTTCAATTACGGCTTTTCTTCACTGGCAAGCGCTTCGTCGAGAGGATGTTGCATTAGTAAAGCTACGAGCAAACGGACGCAACAAATCCCAATATTGTTGGCCCTAGAATGTTGAGAGTTGTCGCGTCAGTGTTGGTAGTGGTGTGAAAACGGATACAACAACTCCCAACAACACGCAACAACATGCAAAAGGGTGAGCAAACCGATCCAGCATGTAATATCCAACAACGTTGCGTCCGTTTGCATGGGGCTTAAGGCTGTCTTTTATCATGGGAACTTTATCCAAGTAAAGTTTTGACCAGGATGGTTCAGAGTCGGCTCTCCTGTTCTCATGCATGTCGTACTATTTTCGTAAGAATGATCCTTGGGAACTTTTTAAGTCCTTTAGTCGTACGTCATAGAGCTCCTGCCAGTGACCACTAGATCTCACTGCTGAAGTTGGTTTGAGGGCTTTGTGCTTCTGTACAACTGTCAGAGGTGTGCTTGTTATTTCGAAGGAACAGAAATGTCTCTTTCTTTCTCTTCACATTATAAGCAGTAATGAGAAGTCTTAATCCCCTTTGCTGGTAGATGAGGACGTCCCATAAGATTGAAGCTTCGACGCCTCCAGACACTTCCCGCTTTTAATCAGCTGATATTCTCTCCCGTTTGATTTTCGCTTATGTTTGTTATTTCTTCAGAATTTAAAGAGAAATTCATGATGCTAGAATGTTCTGCTAGTCTATAAAATTCCAGCGATTGGCACCTTGAGACAATGTGGTCTTTAGTATTTTCTAAGCGCCTACCGGCGCCGATCCTCTACGATTCGATATCGTGAGCTGTGCCTGCGCTCTGAGAAAGGTTTGTCTCATGAGTCCACTGATGAGTCGTATGTGGGTCCACGACAGTTGCTTTCTTTTTTTCTTGAGGGTACTCAAGGCGTAATTCTTTGTCTTCTCAATTTCTGCTGCATTCTTTAGTACTCAAGGAGTTTTCTTTTCTGTTATTCCCTTTTTCGATAAGTATAATAAGAAGCCTTGAGTTCAATCTGATAATACTTCTGGCACACAGCCGCAAGCCATCCTTGTTCTATCAATTTTCTGTAACAGTTGATGGTAAGCATTTCACGGAGATAGTCTTTCAACTTACTTTAAGTTGGACAAGTCGGACTAAGTTCTCTAAAAACGTCTGTAACTGCTGTTAAGCAAACCACCCACAAGCGTTGATGAAAGAGAATAGACAAGTGGTACTGAAGAATGAATGAATGAGTGAATGTTTGAATGAATGGATGGATGGATAAATGAAGGAAGGAAGGAATGCAGTATTTTTATCAACGTGTCAAGTCAGAAGATAGCGAAGGGGAAACCGTAAGCTAACTGGGGACATCTAACAACTAATGTATCTCCTTGAAAGATCTGCTACATTCGTTCCTGTGTTAATAGCCTTCTCTACAAAGAAGAGTTTCAATCAAGTCTGCCAGTGATAGTTAAACCTAGACTGCTGTATTGTGCCACCTCGATATAACGAGCCTCTATATAAAGAAGTCCTCGGTGTAACTGTTGTGGTTCAATTTTATCCTTGGTTTAAATTTTATTTCCCTTTGTTTTTGGAATGGTGATTTATGATAATAAGTTTAAAACAAAGGGAAATAAAATTTAAACCAAGGATAAAATTGGACCACAACATAACGAACGATTTTCTCTACGCCAGAACTAGTAAAACATATGAAAAAGAACCTCCATATAACGAAACATCGTTTTAGAGAACAAATTTTGCCAGTACCTTGGCCGTTCGTTATATCGAGGTTCCACTGTAGTGACGACAGAGGCGGCGATGCTCAGTCATACTGTACATCATACATGCTTATGGTCGTCATCTTAACAATTTTTTCATTAATATAATCATTATTACTGCAAAGTTCACGTGACCCCTTCTATCTTTAAAGTCTTGTTAATGGAACAGGATATTTTTCTATTTAGGACAGGGATCATTGATTTTCTACAACAAGTCATGAATACATGAATACCGCATGCTTGTTTAACCAAGTTTGCCGCATGCTTGTTTAGACACGTGAATGTAGTTATCGAGCCTAAGGTGCATACTTGAACAATTAAAATAAGCATTTCCTCAATTAAGGGAAATAGTCTTGTTTCCAAGTTAGCCTGACCCTTACATCATGATTGTAATTAGCACAAATTTAGGCTATTTAGGTTTTTAAATAAGTTTAAGTTCAGCTTATTCCTTGTATAAAATCTGCATACAATTACATTGTAGTAGGAGTGATAAGGCACCTAAGAGGATCCTGAATGTTGACTTAACTTATTTGCCTGCCCCAGTGTACAGAATTTTTTATACAGATTTTAGAAAATAAGAACCTGTTTCATTTTTTAGGCTTAAAATAGAGGGGACCTACCTGGCAAATTAGCAAGTTGTTAAAACCACTGAGGGTCTTACTCGTGGGTTTTTACTGTATACTGCAGCCTTCAAAAGTTTGCTGTAATTAAAAGCTGTAGCTGAGTATGATATATTCCCTGATTTTTAATGTTCTCCAACAGAATTTGCAACATCCATGGCTTGTGATAGAAGATGCACACGTAAACCTGACAGGAGTTCTGGGATATTTAGAAAAATTCACAGAGCCTGGTGACTATATCTGTGTTGAGGATACAAATCCGCTGACTCCGTACATCTCTAATCAAGGTCTTGTAAAGAACCTCGGTTATGACGAGAGTGGCCCCAATAAGCTGAATGAGCTCAGGAAATTTTTGACAGGTCGCGCAGATAGATACTCTGAAATCAGAAATACACCGATTTCTACGGGTAAGATAAACATTCTTTGTTTTGATCAGCTTTCACTTATCTGATGTTATATTAAAATTTTTGACAACAAAATTTGACAATTGTGCAGTTGGTATGTCGTAATCATTTCGAATGTTTTGATCTTACTCGTGAATGTAAATTGGAATAAGGGTTACACTGAAAAAAGGTACTGCAATTTGTTATTTGTCTACCTTCTTAAAGGTTCGGTTCGTGGTTTCACTATGGTCGCATGGACGCGCGACTTAGTGCGTCAGGTCTCTACGATAGTTAATGCACTTTTCAGATAACCTTTTTAATGTGGCTAAATGTAATTTAGGCAAAGTTAACCTCGAAGCATTGCTGGTCAGCAGTTTCCCCTGCTATACTAGGGGTGGCCCGATGCCTCTAGCAGGGGCACCTCGTGACTTATATAGCAGTTGCATGCTTGCAGTTCTTCGCAAACTGTTGTTGCAATAGCTTGCTGTTTGTGTGCCATTTTTTGCATTGGTTTTCTCCCGTCCCTCCCTCCCTCTTGAGGTATGGGCCAGGTAAGTATTGGTCGGTAAGTATTCCACTGAATTGTTCAGTGTGATGGTGCCTGGTGGGGGCCGCTCGCAGGGTTGCCATGGATACCTCCTCCTCATGCTAGAGCATTGCCGGCTCCACCAACTTTGTAGGCACCAACGCCCAAGCTCATCTATTGGTGATGAGTTTAATTTAATTTTTTTGCCATTATTTTTTGCAGTTACAACGCCACCTGGAACATGA